TCTGTATGAGTTGTACAGTAGGGAGTGATGCTTGTATGTGTAATCCAATCGAGTAATTTGCGGTTAATGTTTTTAATTTAGCAAATTTGGACCATGACGACGGTACATAATGGCCTCCTCTTTTCAAATGATGTCGGGGGATCTCTAACGTCCACTGTGAAGCAGGCGGCGCGCGGAATTTTACGGTTAATGCACGCAGCGCAGTAATAACCAGGGCGCCCTGCCGGATTCGAACTGCGAATCTCTGCAACAAGCAGTGAACACGCCACCGCCGGGCCACGTCATGCCCCCGTACACATCTGACGCTGTGAAAATCGCCGTCACGAAAGCATGAAGTGCCTCGACGCATGACCTCTGCGGTCACCAAAACTCACACACCTGGGACTGCGCCCCAGGGAGAGCAGAGCTATGATATCAAATCACACACGAAAAAAAAAAATCGTCCTTGAAAAATGAAAGTGTAAGGTTTCTCTTGCTGTTTTCCGCTCTGCTTGGCGAGTGAGCGAGGTAGGTTAAACAGGGGTCAATTGCAATAAAGTGTGCAATGATTTCTAATTGTATAACCATGTAAAACAATTTATATTGATTGTTATTACGCCAGCGACAACTTAATCGCTTAAAAGATGAATTTCAAACGCGATTTAAAATCCAAAGATGGCCATTGTTGTAGATGCTCAGGGGATCTAGCACAACATTGTAAAATATTTAAACCTGAATTAATGGGAGTTTTATTTTTTTAAATGTTTTGCTTTTCTTTCGGTGACATTTGCCCTGTATCGCTCAGAGGACAGAAGAGTCTGTCTGCATCGTCACCACGGTGTCCATGAACCCACGGCTGGTGCAGCAGGTGCTGCGAGCGGCACACGCGCGCGCGGCTCACAGCTTCGAGTTCGTTTGCGGCCGTTATTATGTCCGGAGAAAAGTAATCTGTTGTTGTCGTTTGTGCCTTTTGTGGGCCGAGTCACAACATCAACAAAACATTTGTCAGAATAAACGATGAAATCTGAAAATATTGCGTGCGCAGCTGGAATGTGATCCTTGGACGTGCTGGTCGCAACGCGTAGAGGCAGCGGTGCATGCGATGGGAGCTGCGGGAGGGAAACCGGTGGGGTCACCGACCCACCGTGCTTTACGAGGCCTCCTGTTCTGTCACCACCTTGGCGTTGCGTTGCCTTGCGCATCGGGAGATTCGATCCGGCCTCCGCGAGTGGACGCCGTTGAATTCCGGGGTTTTTGCGAGCAGATAGATTTGCCGTGCTTGGACACCTGCAAGCATCTAGCAGTGGTGTCACGTGGTTGGGGAGGGATTCTGGTGCAAGGGATTAAACTGGGCTCCCATCCACAGTCTATACTGCTGTTCCCTGTTCATGTCCTGGCACCCGGGTGCCTCTGGCACATGAGCTCCGGTCAATGGCGGAGCCAGGATTTTCAGGTAGGGGGGGCAACCCCTCCAGCAATGAAAAAGTGATAGAGGAGTTGTTAGTAAGCAAGGACTTGTCCCTTGCTTTTTATTCGGCACATGTGCGGCGACAGCACAGCCGTCGAGCGAGGTTCGAATTCGAACTGTGTGTGATCGGCATCGCGCTCGCTGAAGGTGTTGATGCCTTCAGGGAAGTCGTGTACTGTATACACAACTGCGCACACGTCTGTGAGTCACTTATAACTGCTTTGCCGTTACTTATTGCCAATTATGGACTCAGACTATTGTCCTATCATCTCAGAGTACCTGGCACATAATATGCTACACAGTGGTAGTAGGGGGTCGTAAAATGCCACTTTATTACTAATATACCCCAATGATCCGATCGAAATTAGGGATTTCGATCTGATCATTGGGGGAGGGGGGGCACGTGCCACTCCACCCCCCCCCCCCCCCCACTGGCTCTGCCAGTGGCTCCGGTTCAGTTGCCCCCCTTGCACATTCAACCGATATTCCATTGGCCTCTACGGATGATGGGATTTACCAAAACGCGTGTGAAGTGTGCAAAATGTCAATTCGCGTCATGTTCCGTGTTCATTCTTGAGCTTGCCTGCCTGTTTGACATGCAGCAAAGCGATTCAGTATTAGTTAATACAATACATTCTTACTCTTCTTACTGGGTATGCTATGAAGCTCTGTCTGGTGATGGTGTCACTTAATAAAACAGAACATTGAAGGAAGGTGAGGTGAAACCACTTAAACGCTCCTTCTTGAGTAATGGCTTGAGATCCCTCGGATGGAGTGTGGTGTCGAACAATGAGGAGTGTGGAATGGGATCAGATTGGCTGGAGGAAGCTTGAGCCAATGGACCTGCCCTTGGTCAGAAAACCTAAGAACGATTTTTACCCTATATCATTGCAAGATCATTATCATCGGCTATGAACAATCCACTGCTGGATGAAGGTCTCCACTAACTGCCACCACCACCTCTCACGATTCTGCGATGTAACAATCCATCCAGCACCTATGATAGAATATGTTATTCATAAAATTTATATTTGCATGTATGTTGAACTTTTTCACCGTACGTAGCCAACCGTGCAAATCGGTGTGGAGAGGCCCTGATCCAGCAGTGGACTGACAAAGGTCTATACAGGCTTTCAGCACCCAGGACCACATAAATCATATTTAGATGAATGTTAATTTCATACTGTACCTGGACTCAGGAATGTGGAAATGTGTGCAAGTTGCGACGGAACAAGTATTTGCCCCTTTTGGAACAAGAGAGGTTTTGCTCTTCCAGGACAGAATTTTGTCTCTCTAAAAACACAGTTGCACCATGATATCTCTGCCGAGTAAACGGACCACCAAAGAGGAACACGGGCGAATTGTAATCCCTTCTAGATTTGAGGTTTTCATGACTGCAAGGATCCATACTCTTTGGTTCTTTCGGTAAAGTCACGTAGGTGAAAAAAAAGAAAAATGTATTTCAAAAATTGTTTTTTTCACCTACGTGACTTCACCGAAAGAACCAAAGAGTATGAATTGTAATCCCCTCTGGTCCACGGTCTACTCAAACACATCGCCTCGGTTCCAAGAGTTCTTCTGTTTTGTTTTCCTATAAAACGTCACACGAACACTAAACGGGGGCTCACGGCTGTGCGTGATGTTGAATTTAGACTTGTTTCAAAACGCCGCATTTTCACGGAATCTTGTTTTCACCATTGCCAAATTAAACGTCCATAAACTGCACTGAGTGCCCCAAAAAGGTACCATGATTGCATCAGCTCTGCTCGATGATATCCTGTGCGCCAGACACACGCGATGCAGTCCCGGAGCTGAGGACCCCCCTCCCCCTCCTGATGGCTGAGTCCCCCATTCAACATGGCTTGTTGTACAAGAAAACAACGTTGGTACATCATTTAACACCAGCGACAACTAAGTAATGGACCGCCGTTCCTCGTGTGCATAGGGGGTGAGAGCTGGTGCAGAATGCATGAAGAGCTTATTGTATATCACTCGTTTTGCATATCACTCATTCCGTTTAGCGTGTAACAATTGTTTAAAATTGACTGAGTGGTTTTATCCCCCCCCCCCCCCCCACCTTTAAATAAGGTCACACTACAGGGCTTGATGTGATGCCATGCAGCTGTAGGTCTGGGTCGGAAAAACACACTTTCCCAGTAAGTGTGACGTCTCAACAAATGTTTGTTCTAGCCTGACCGTCTCGGAGGAAAGTTGTAAAGATTTGCTTGAGTGAAAAGGAGCTCAGGCAGTTACTGCTTCTGCAAATACAAGCGCAGAGCTTTCAGGGAGTCCCTTTGGAACCACAGTCGGGACATTGTGCATGCAAAGCAAACACGGGCGGGTTTATTTTCTGGTTAATGTGTTGTCACAACAGCCTCCACTTGCACCTCTGCTTGGGTTTTAAGAACAGAGCCCCCCCCCCCTCCCCCCCTTTGCTGTTTGTGACGCAGATGTTATATGGCCCTGCAGCTCTCCCTCCCAATGTTTGGTACCGGGTTAAGTGGTTTTGAATTGCCTGGTCACCCCAGAGATCAGGCCACTGACCCGTAACGAGGGGGGTTCGAACTCAATCCCTGCTCTCCGGTGCAGTACACTTCCCCAGGTAGGGCGATCGGCTCCTCTGTTTCCAATTATCTCTGCCGTCCCGCAGATGAGCAAGGACCCCCCTGCATGTGCAGACACCCCCTCCCCCTGCCCCACACTGCCCATGCTCTCCCCCTGCCCTGTTATGCTGACAAATTATTCCAGGCACTGTCATTTGCATATACTGTTCCCTGTTGCTGCTGGGTCTGAGAGCTGTGCTGTACATGGCAAGTTCCAGACAGTAGTCAATCATTGATGTAGTGAAGAATTACATTGAACTAAAGGCTGTGAGTAAGGCTGAGGTAAGGCAGCTGGTAAAGAAAAGACAAAGATGTAGCGAATTTATATTGGCATTATTGTGACTCTCGAGCTCACGGGGAGAAGAAGAGTTCTTTCGAGAATTTGGTTTTTAATATTTGACCGTTACATTTATGATAACAATGTTGTTGTTATTTTATGATCCATAAACTATTATTGTTTCGTGATTATTATTTGCGATCCATGCCTGCAAAACGTGCACATTAAAGCCCCGAATGTGCACTCGCGTGGCAACGCTTGTGATTGGTCAAGAAAATTACTTGAACTTCCATCCACCGCGGTCGTGCTATGGAACTCTCCAATGTGTTTTCGGGTTGTACGGCGAGTTGTTTGGCACGATGTCTGACGTTCTTCTCCACGTGCTGGAGAAAAAGGCTGTGCAACTCCATCGGCAAAACACCTGGGCAGCAAGCGACTTCAAATTGTCATTCGTTGGGTTATGTACAAGGTGCACATTTTCCACGACGCTGGCACTAACCCTCAATTTTTCAACTCAGCAATTGAAATTCTCCACGGGTGATTTTTATCGATTTTACAGGTCGCATTTTCCGACCACGGCCCCATGTCTCTGCGTGGTCCACCTCCACCCTCGCGAAACTCCGCTCCCCATCGCGTGTGTGTACACCCCCCCTCCCCCCGCCTGCACGTCCAGGTGGTGCACGCGGCGGAGGAGGCCGCCGCGGCCCTGGCGTCGGCTCTTCCGCCCGAGCCGTGCCTGCGGCTGCTGTGGCCATTCGTGCAGACGGCCACCTACCCCAGCAACCTCGCCGCCATCAAGATGCAGACCAAGGTGGTGGAGCGGCTTCCACAGGACGTGCTGCTGTCTCTGTTGCCCGATGTTGTGCCCGGCCTCGTGCAGGTAACCATCACAGATGTAAAGCTTTCGTGACTGCAGGGATTCATCTTCTTGGTTCTTTCGGTAAAGTCACGTAGAAGGGAAATAATAATAAAATAATAATAATAAAACATAATAAAATAATTCTCACGACGTTTCGGCCACAACGCAAGCAGCCGTCCTCAGGTGAAGAACAGGTCGGTCGGAAAGACGGCGTCTGAATGGGACCTGTTCTTCACCTGAGGACGGCTGCTTGCGTTGTGGCCGAAACGTCGTGAGAATTATTTTATGATGTTTTATTTTTATAATTTTATTATTTCCCTTCTACGTGACTTTACCGAAAGAACCAAGAAGAGGGTAACCATCACGTGGGGGACTCGCGTGTCAAGGGCGCTTGCGTAGACGCTCCCCAAGCGAACTCAACCAGTCCAGTGCCCTGGCCGCAGTCGAACCTCGGAGACCACCAGTGGCAGCTGGCAATGTGTAGCGCGATGCGTACTCGGCACAGGCCTGTCAGTGGGCATTAGGCTGCCGGTAGTAGTAGTGATGTTGCTACGTGGAGTTATTTTCCCACTTAAGTAATTTCCAAGTCGTTTATTGTATTTGTCAAATGTTGACCATAATGCCGTTACACATGGCCTACTTTTTTTTCCCCCGAAGAATTAATATTCAATCTGAAATATTTTGGATTTATGAGAAAAAGGGTGAATCAAACATAACCTCAAATTCAAGTCTTCGTTAACATAACAAGCTAAATACTGTAAAAAAGTCCAATTAATCTCACCTCTATCTCGTCTTCGCCTCCCTTTTTTCTCATCTCAAGCCATCTTTATTTTTTTCATCTACATTTAACTTATCGTCCTGTCTATATCTTTTGTCATCTCACGAGGAAATGTGCAAATTGAAAGGGAGAGTCCCCTAATTTCTGCTCAGGTTCCCCAGTGGGCGAGCGCCACCGCTGGCCGCTCATCCTGCTGCTGGCACGGAGCCACCCGTTGTTTAGAGGACGCGGCGCGCACTGTTATGGTCACCCCTCTCTCACCACACGCAGCTCAAAACATTTGAATATAAGTTACACGGCACCACCGCCACCATCGACGCAGCGTACAAAGCGGCGTAGGATTTCCACAGTCGTAAAGTCCTGCAGCTTTGGGAGGTGAGTGCTATTGGGCGTATAATCTATGCTTTATGTAGCCACAAGCAGGGTCTGTTTATGGGATGGCAAGCTGGCCTGTTGAGAGACAAGTGGGACGATGATGCAGGCTTAGCCCGGGGCTGGATGCTGTCCCACAACTTTGAAACCTACCTTCTATCTTGTTCGTGTCTGGGTCTCGCTTGTAAAATGTGTTGGATATCAGCGTTAGCTTTCACGTATTGCTAAATGAAGAATTGGTTCTTTTACGTTATTAAATCATTCATTTAGAATAACATATTAATCTAAAGATTGGCTCTCGTATGATTTTTTTTAAATAAAGGAATATGATGGATTGACAGTTTTTTTGTGAATAGTACAATCTACCTTTATACCCATTTAATTCATATTTATACACCAAAATGTACCAATATTACATGCTGGTTAAGCTGCCAGATTTATTCGCATATGGGGAGGCCTTCATCCAACAGTGGATTGATCATGGCTGATGATGATTTAGAAAACTGCACCACTGTTCTGAGTAAGGTTCCATCATTAGTGGCAACACACAAAGTGGAAAGGACTTTAATGAACCCTAACCTGGCATGTATGCCTCAATTCAGGATAGGTTTCCGATTCTAAAACACTCGTGGGAAATATTAATCATTGGTAGAACATCATAACACCCAGAGAAAATCTAACACGTGCATAGACGGAAATAACGGTCACACAGATTGGTCAGCAGCCCAGTTGTATGACCCCATCTACAATGTCGGACAACCTTCATAAATGACAATTTTAATCCACAGAGATAAACTCGAGAAACAGGGCCTGTAATAAGTATTCTTCATCAACAGCTTGTCACGTTCCAGGGTCGCAATTCCATTCAATAATGGTTGCAACATGACGAATGTAGGCATCACGTGAACAGCACCAAAAAATTACATGCTGAACTCAAATTCGCTCTCCCGCGTGCGCGATTCGGTGCACTCTTCGCGATTTTAGCAGGGGAATTGATGTAAGGTAAGGCGCATGATGCGAGCGGTTTGCGGTCGACGTTTGCACGTGGGTGCACGTGGGTGCACGTGGGTGCACGTGCGCGCGCAGGGCTACGACAACGCCGAGACAAGCGTGCGCAAGGCGAGCGTGTTCTGCCTCGTGGCGATCTACACGGTGATCGGGGACGAGCTCACCCCACACCTGGCGCTGCTGTCCAGCAGCAAGGTGAGGTGCGGCGGTGCCGGCCACGTGGAGAGTGTCCTGGGGCAGGGTCCCCCATTGGGTGGCGCGGCCTCACCAGGCGGTGATATGTTGTACAGGACCCAGAGGGATGATGCATTGGTCTGACCGTGGCCAAGATTTGAACTACAAAGAAACTAAATTTCGATTTAAAGCTTTCGTGACTGCAGGGATTCATCTTCATGGTTCTTTCGGTAAAGTCACGTAGAAGGGAAATAATAAAATAATAAAAATAAAACATAATAAAAAAATTATCACGACGTTTCGGCCACAACACAAGCAGCCGTCCTCAGGTGAAGAACAGGTCTGTCGGGAAGACAGCGTCATTCAGACGCTGTCATTCAGACGCTGTCATTCCAACAGACCTGTTCTTCACCTGAGGATGGCTGCTTGCGTTGTGGCCGAAACGTCGTGAGAATTATTTTATTATGTTTTATTTTTATTATTTTATTATTTCCCTTCTATGTGACTTTACCGAAAGAACCAAGAAGATAAAAATAAACTACTAAACTATTTTTTATTTTACCAGGTAAGGCCCACTGAGCTATATAGCTCTTTTTCAGAAGTGAACTGGCTACAAATAATAGCTCAATGAAGTGGCTTATCATGTGGAAATGTATAGCAGCCAAATACTCGAAACGTGTTTCTAAATGTGGAGAGAAAAACTCGAGGACTCGGATAAAATCCATGCGACAACAGGTATAACATGTAAACTCGAAATATAGAGGCATCACGGTCAGGATAGAACCCACGACCGCCTGTATACCAGGCGAGGTAGTTAATAGCTCGCCACCGTGGCGCGTCAACTCGTGAACCTTCCGCTTGGGAGCCTACTGGCCTCTTAACTGAGGTAACCCTCAGCTTTATTTAAAATATAAATGGGTAAAGTGAAATGCATGTTCCTGAGTGAGCATGTAAATAAATGTTCGTTTATTTTCCAAATATCATCTGTTTTGTGCCTCTGAGGCATGAACAAAGCCTGGATCCATTATCTGTTTATCAAGCACACAGGCTGTTCTCTTCCTGTGCTAATTTGCAATGCTACTGCACCAGGTGTGTCTGCTGGTGTTGCTGGGAAATGTGTTACAAATTAACTGCAACAATCATTGCTCCTCTCTTATCACACACCCTAATTGTAGTTTAAATTAAGCGCCATTGCGTACGTCTAAAATTCAGCAAATTACTGGCCTGCAAATATTTATTCTGGGTTATTTGTTTGTAATATTTGCAAAGCCACCTTTTGGTGTTCATAGAAAAAAAAAGAATCCTTGCCCCCCTTCTTAAGAAAGAAAGCAACTTGTTGCACTTCAGATCTCTTTCTTGAAGCCCTCGGATAAGATGGCTTATCTTGTAAGCCGCATATAAAGGCCAAAGGGTTTGTTTTGGACCACAAAGACATAATGGCAAAAGGCCCCAAAGGCTAATCCTGTAATGGGGGTGCCTTGCTCCGTCTGTTGCATTAGGGACAGGGGCGTTGCCTGGCTGGCACGTCGGCTGTGGCGTGGCTGCTTGCCCACATGCCACCCTGTCTGTCCTGATGTCTCTGGCACCGCACGGGCTTAAACTTTCCCTGTGCTGATCACAAACAACCCGAGGGAATAAAAAATAATGCAACAGTTGATTGGCTTTAGTGACAGAAAACCTAACGTTATTTTTACGTGCAGCAGTTCACAGATTTTAATGCCTGGCTGGTTTTGTTGTTTTAACTTATTTTAGTTTGTGCTTTGTGTACTAAACTTGCGAATTGAGATTTAGTTTCAAACACACGGTTGACAGAATTTGAAGAAATGTACTTTTAAGCAAATTATTTGGGCGAATAATTTTCACTCTCTGCTGGCAGGAGTTGTTGAATCTCACACTTGCAAAGTGTGTATTGCATAGAAAGCGATTACACACTATAATGAATGAAAATACACCTTTAACACAATTGCTTTGTGGTTTTGTGCAATTAAATGTTCTCTTTCCCCAGTGCAGGCTTTATAGCTATTTGTTTAAAGGGCCATCCATTCTGTTTAGAAACAATTGTAATTTAGTACCACCACGTTTTCCTCTTGAGATGTAGCTCAGATAATACCTACCAGGCCTCACAGGGCAGGTTGTCTAATGCCACCCATTTCAAGGCCCTGCCTTTCCTTCTATTGATGTCCACGTGTGCACACACACACTCACACTCCCGTGTATATTAGACAATGCCCATGAAAGGGAACGGCTCGCATGCTAACCCGGTGCAGTGTGTGCCACCACCTTCATTGCTGCAGGTGGCGGCTTGCGATGGTGACAGGTGCTGGTGCAAGGACTTGCCAAATGGGATAAGTTCACGGTGTTCATTAGTGTGGGGGGCAGTTGGGGGGGGGGCAGTATCCAATTAACAGGATTCGTACAATTACATTTGCAATGGAAACGCAAAGAAACGGAGACAATTGTCATCACTGCAGCTGTTGGGCCTGTCATCGAGGAGGCATTCATTTCTCTTCCACGGTGTGACATAAATCCTGACACAGCATTGCGCTGATGCTTTTGCAACAGTGCATGATGTTTCTACTTCCATGGCGAGGTGACCGTCAACACAGAACACCTGTGCCTATTTTATTTAGACATCAACTCGGGCTGTTTATGGATGCAATAGTGGATGTGGAGCAGCTGAGTTCGTGGATGCATTTTTTAAAAATAATCCCATGCATCAATTAACATATTTATCTGACGTATTAATACACAGGGGTACAGCGGCAACGCAGTCATTAATGCACTGCACTATGAACCCGGCGAGCTGAGTTTGAGTTCAGGCCCCGGCTAATATCAGTGACGAGTGATATCTGAACGGGTCCTGGCCTCCAGCTGCTTCGCTAACCCGCACTGGCTGCCAGTATGGTGAAGTATGGTCATATTGATCTGGCTTTGGCGGATTGGCAAAAATCTGTAAACTATAAATGATTAATTCTAGATTTGAAGCTTTCGTGACTGCAAAGATTCATATTCTTAGGTTTTTTCGGTAAAGTCACGTAGATAAAACATCAAAATTAATAAAAATAAAATAAAATAAAGATCTTTATTTTAAAGATCTTTATTTTATTTAAAGATCTTTATTTTATTTTATTTTTATTAATTTTGATGTTTTACCTACGTGACTTTACCGAAAAAAACCTAAGAATATGTATAAATGATTCATATGAATATGATTTTTCCATCAGGTGTGAAAATATATAATCACGTGTTGGTACATTTTAATACCTCGTGAAAAGAATACAAGGTATTAAAATGTTTAATTCTCTGTTGCGGAACATTGTGACAACTCATTTCTTGAGAACTGCGTCTTGTGTTTTATTTGTCCTTGCCCCGCACCTCCGATTAGCAAGGTTCGCTTTGTATGGTGCGAAAGGTCAACAGGTCAACATTGAAATATACAAAAGGCCATCTCGACGTTAAAACAATGTCTTTTCCGTGTCCTATTTCACTAAACTCAGTTGGAATTAAAAAAAGACATCCGATGTCATTGGCAATCAAAAGCTGTCTATTCACTGAATTGTTGCCCATATTTCACTGATGTCAATTAATTTCATGTTGGTTGTTTTATACTTGTGTGTCAGCAATGTAAACTACTCCATTGTGTAGGGAATTTTTACGTGCACGTGTGTATAAAACACAATGCAAACATATTTACGTGAGCCCTCCCCTCCCACTTGTGGTGTAGCCTATTTGTAACGTGTAAGCCGCGTTTAAATGGGGCAAAGCTAACTTCAAAGGAAAGGGCTGTTAAAGCTGCAAGGACTTTTACAGCCCATTGAAGGATCACCACATTTACACATAAAAGATTGCATTGTATGAATTGTATAAAATCAACACTGCCTAATTTAATAAATGACAGTTGTGTGTTTCACCAGTTTAAAGATGTAACAACAGTATAAATTGCCTGACCTGATATCTCAGAAGCTAAGCCGGATTTGCATCCACCTGTCAATACCGATTGCTGTCGGCTCAGGATGCGTTGGTGGCCAGCAGATGGCAGTCAGGGAACTGTATTCCTAAATCTATCTGTTTGGATCTATGGCCTTTAGTCCCTTGTATGTGTGGCGTCTTCTCCAGGAAACTCAGTTTGCTTCCGCATGTCCGCTGCTTAATGAAATGAGCTCCACTAGTAATGAGTCATGAGGCTATGAGAGCTTTTCCTGGGTAAATCAACTTGTTGTGGGAGTCTGCAGTCAACAATCTGCACCATGGCTGCTGAAAATAACCGCTCAAAGAGCGCCTTTTGCTTGTATGACTTCATTATGTTCCAGGGTTCTTTACCCGCTTAAACAAACAGGTAATATAACCAACCGTTTAATGTTTGGCGCTGAGGGGTTTTTCTGTTTGCCTCTGGCGGGGTTACTTAAGTGGCATTAAGCAGTTTTATACAGATGGGAAGTGTTCATCTCGTAGCAAGAAACTGGAAATCGTTGCTTTTACAACTGCACTTTTAAATACTGTAATAGGTGAACACTCCTTCAATGGCACGCTGAAGGTCATGTGCAGACTCCAGTCCCACCCTTTGATACGAGCAGGTAGCCATGTAAACATTCCTTCGTGTAATGAATCGACTTAAATTCACGTGACATTTCTTTTATTCCAGAATCTGTATTGTTTAAAAAATGGCAAACATTTACCCAGGAAAACCACACTTAGTATCAAGACTATTTTTCAGGAGGAGTTCTGCATTGCGAAATTTGGCCAATCACTTAAATTCGTTTTTGCCATGAGCATGTAAAAACAATTAAATAACACCCGTGAAATTGTACAACGCTTGCGAGGTACAGGATGAAGACAAGCATCACAGGCTGCACGCATCATTGCCATTGCATTTTGTCATTTCTCTGCACAGATGAAGCTGCTGAATCTGTACATTAAGCGAGCCCAGGCAGGCTCCAGTGGAGAGAGCACGGCCGATATGCCGGGCCAGAGCTGAGCGCGTCATCGCCGCCACCATCACAAACCACCGCAAGACGCGGTGCTCTGTACAACCGGGGGGACGGCACCTGGCATGCAACTCCTCGCTTCGTGCTCCACACTCCCCCCCCCCCCCCCCGCTGTCTGCCCACCTTCTCTGCTTGAATGACGGTGCCTTCGTGCCCACTTGGGTCCCCACCGTCACCGCGAGTGTCCTCGGATAGCCAGGGATTCATTTCTCACTGCATATTTTCTTGGTCGCCAGTAGTCTGGAGTAGGTGGCACATTGACAATGGTCACGGCCACAGTTGACAGGTTTGCTGGATGTGGCGTGCCCGGTGTAGACATTTTTTCTGAGTCACCAACCCAGACAGACCCCGCTGAAGTCAGAATCAGAATCTTTATTTCGACTGGAAGAATCCGATGAGCTATGAAGCTCTTTTTCACCGATGTCCAGTAGGAGCGGGTCAAAAAGTTAAGTGCCGTGTAGGGCCATCCGTGTGGCTTTTGGCTGGCAGCGGCGCAGTAAGCGGTAGCCACAGCTGTAGTGGGAGGGATTGTGGATGCGGTGCGCTGGGTCGGGGAGTACTTTCATGTCACTGAGCCAGTGGCCAGGCTCGGATGAATTAGCTCTGTGTGTGTGGCTATCCATGTAGCAGTGGCACGGCTGTGTGGAACGCAGAGAGAATGACTGCATGTTGCGCTGGTGGGCAGGAGCTGGTCCACCCCCTTTAAAGTGTCGTGACTGAGTAGGTTGTGGAGAGCATCGGGGTCAGGTGTCGTGAAATTTAACTGTCATGTGTTGCTCCATCAGCACACGAGTGGAAAAGTAAATTTGTCAGTGTCCAAGATCTTCATTAAGATGTGTATTTTGTTCGATTATTCTCAGCACAATACATAGTTTAACTCATATCTGAGCCGCTGTCACGGTCGTTAATTAAATTATCACTTTTTTTCTCCAAATATCAATGCACAGCATTTAGTATAATGCCACTGTATAGTGGAGCAAACCATGCCCGCGTTAATGTAACATAACATAAGCTCGCACTTTGTCATTCACACCAACTCGTTTGTTATATCTGATCTAAAATCCACCAGAGTGCTGTAAGTGTAATGTACGAGAAATTGCTGCCCACTTCGTGAACACACCGCTGGGTTATTTGGAATGCTGGCCGTTGGAATTGTCCGTTAATGTAGGAGGTTGCCGGTGCGTCGTATTTAATCTTAGTCAGAGTCACGTGAATTGACACGTCTGTGCATTTGTAGCGCTTTACCACCTTTTGCCATCTTCGAGCCATGCTGCGCTGCTTGCGCTGTGTTCAGCGTCTGTGCGTGCACAACAAACACAGAGGCTAGCAGCGCACTCGGGTAGCCGCGTACTGTGTCGTGCCATCCCGTTCATACCACCGAGCAGAGCCGGCCCAGCCACTAAGCGACCCTTGCAATTGCAAAGGGCCCCGTGGCCAGCAGAGGGCCCCCTAGAGTCACTGCGAGCTAGTGGGTGAAAAAAAAGTCATACATCAAAGGGGCCTCCAACCAAATTTTGCTTAGGGCCCCCAAAGGTCTAGGGCCGGTTCTGCCACCGAGGCACCTGGTGGACGACTCTTGCCAAGGTAGCATGGGCTCATAGCACATCGATATGTTTAGGGACGATGGTGAATGTTGTAATATGCATGCTGCCACAATAACTATCGGGAGATGCAGTCATCGCTCAGTCGTGTGTGCTCTTCAGACGGAATCCCTGTTTGAATACGTTTGCGTAGATGTTTTTCACGTAAGGTTTTCAAAAAGCACCACGAAGATTGCCCGCCGATAATTACACTCACTCGTTTTGAGAATAGCAGCATCTGCTGGATATAATTTTTTTAGTCTAGAAAGTGGAGAGGGATTAGGTCGTGATATTTATTGGGTTGAAGTCACAAACATGGATTTAATAGTGGCAGGAGGGGCTCAATACAAGACTGTATCCACTTCATCTTCCTGGCATTTTCCCAATAAATGTGGGCTCTGCCTCACTGCTCCTCTTTCTGCACTCGCTCCTGTCCTGGGTCATCCTCTCCACATCCTCCACATCCTGACTCACCACGTGGAGCCACCGGTCTCTCGGCCTACCTCTCAGTCTCTGCCCTGTTTATCACCTTCCTTCCGATGTGATTTCGCTCTCTTCTTACGGCATGTCCTAGCCACCCGAGTCAACTATCGTTCAGACGCACTGCTCTATCTGCATACTTATTCATAGTCACACTGCTGTTAAGTACGGACATTGATCAGTCCCATGGCTAATTTCAGAAGTGGCAGCACACACCTGTAATCTGGCGACTTGGAGGCACTTCGCAAACAAAATATGCCTGTTGGATAGCACAGCAAGTAAGTTGCATGCCGAACTGTGTTAAATTTGTTAGTCATTTTTACGCGTGGGTTTTTTTCCACTACTGCTGTTTTCTCACACATGCAACAATAACTAAAAATAAATCGAATAGATCAAGCAGCCAAAGCAGGTGGAAAAAATGTTCAGACTCAGTGAGGCATTCCTAGATAAACAGAGAATTTACCGTACTTTATTAAAATCAATCTTGGGCCAAAACAGTAGCATTAACATTCTTGTTTTTTTGTTGTTTATGCGCCACCCTCCTTTAATGACCACGAGCCGCGCAAACTAAGGTCGGCACACCGCAGTCTGAAGTGGGGGGGGGGGGATGTGTCTGGCTTAGCATCACCGTGGCACTTTTCAGATATCCACGAGGCTACTCCTGAAGCCATCCCCCGGCTCACTCACCAACCTTCACGTGAACATACAGTATCAACGCCATCGATCAACTCCCCACCATACAAAAGGAGAAAACTAAAGGACCCTCCATCGTAGCCCATCAGCTAACAACTCCCTCCACATTTCACCTCTCCATTGCAACCATAAATCGACAAAACATAGCGTTAGAGCTGAAGCGTAATTCAAGTGGAGGTGATGTCTCGGTAACATAGAGTCGGTGGTTAGTGTCCAAATGGCAATCCTGCGGGAGCTTCCGCCTGACGCAGACTCGCTACTGATGAACAATCGTGGCAGCAAGATTGCGTGTGTAGCACTGCTGGCTGGTAGCTCTCCAGTTTCCTGCCACATGTCGCGTGAAGTTGTAGTTTGACATGACGCGCGGCGTGTGTGGTGTCGCAAGTTAGAGTAGCTCGTTTGTTATTTAAAATTGACGCGGGTTCTTGTCAATGTAAAAGAAAAACGGTGTGCGTGTGTTTTTTATGTTCATAAAAAAAGAATTCTTAACTGGGCAACGCAGAAAAATACGACAAAAAAAATTGTGCCACGTTTAAAACGTCGTGCGACACCGGCTGATGATGTCGCTGGCTGACTGGCGTGTCATGCCCTGGTTTCAGGTCGCTAATTTGAGAACTTTAATTTATAATAAAATCACAACTCACTTTTGTAAATGTTCTCTTTTTAGTGGGTGGACAGATTATAGGAAAACACGTTTTATGTATTAAAACATTGATTAAAACTTTATATATAATGCTATTAATTAGGAGTAGAGTATACAGATTTATAGATATATTAATTAATCCCTTATCCCATATACTAGATATATCTGCTAATGTAGTGAGACATGTTATGGGCAACAGGGTTATCATTGGGGAGGCAAACAACTCTACAGTTTTGCTCACGATGTTGCCCAGGGCTTAATCTTTCACGCAATATATTGCCACAGTTTGCTACATTCCTGGGAGGTGGCACGTGACTAATAACCACAGCCATAACGAGAGCTACTGTGGATGTGGTGTGCTGCGTGCAGGAAAAATTTCCGAGTAGATGACCCACACAGACCTGGCTGAAATTAAGCTCTGGTGTTGCTTTGTTTTTCACTGGTTTACAATGAACATTGCATCATAATCTGAGAAAAGATAACGAAAAAATATTTGTCCTAGATAATTGGCAGATATATAAAGTATGTACATTGCAAAGTTGCACCCTGTATTGACTGTGGCAGCTGTTATCACAGAGTATATTGCTGTAGGTGGTGGGTTTGCATGGAGGAGATAATATATATCGAGTTATTCTCTGATGGATATTTAATTGAGATGTATTTCCTTAAATGTGTTTAATAAACTGTACAGATATTAAAAAAGGTAGTTTGGAAAATGTGTCTTTCTGGGAAAGGGATGCTGGAGGTGATGATGTGTTTTGTTTATTTGCAACGAAGGTGCAAATTCTCCAATGTCTTTTCGGATTGTGCTGCGTGCTTTTCGGCACGGTGTCGGACATTTCGCAGCACGTGCCGGAAGCTTCTTCAGCAAATGAATTGAGCATCTCGCGTTGCCCCTGGATTGTACAGCACTGCCGTCAGTAAGTGATTGTGTCTGGAGTCGGCTGGCCGATGTGAAGCTCCCTGCACATTTAGAGAATTTTCGGACACCATGCTGAACGACACCTGCAGCAACTCAAAAACACGTACGAGGGCTGTGCAGGCACAACCGCGAAAATCAACGAGCTAAGATGCGATTTTGTCGATTTTTGTTCTACATAAAAAAACCTCATAATTTCAACCTGAAAACAGTCCTGGAAGCAAATGTGCATCGGATCTCGTAAATTGTATCCCAGCACACGTGGTCTAATTCACTTACAACTGGAAATGTAACGGGTAACAACAAAACACTGTGAGAACGTGTAGAATTGACGTGGAAGTGAGTAAAACTCATCACAGTTCACACCGGTAATTCATAGCCTAAACCAAGTGTGATATCTTTCCTTTATGTATAGCAATGCGATCGATCTATCGGACATACATCTCTCGTTGAAAATAATGTAAACATGCGTAGAGTAAAGATTGCCTCTCAGTCGGCCATCGTTATTATCAGCCATGTTCAATCCACTGTTAGATGCGTGCATCTCCATGCCATCACCATCCCAAATGGTCACGCAGTGCCACAATCCATCTTGCTCCTGTGTAAGACCCAGACCTTATTGGTCCACCTCTGTGGTGGGCATCTCGTGGTTCTCTCCTTCGGCTGCCAATACTTCACCAATCTCAACCTTAATCATCATCAAGCACAATTGTCTCAAAATGAAGTATTTCTAATTATCCATGTTTCCAGATTGATGTGCTCCCTTCTCCCTGCCAGTGTACCCCCATGCTTCTTTGCAAGCTTTGGTTTTGCTTTTTTTCGTCAAACTATATATTTTTACCAACCTTGAACATACACTGCAGCTATTCACACACGTCACTGTAACACTTTTCTTCCAGTGTCCGTGTTTCTAATCCATATACAGTACCACAGTGTCCATCAAGTACCATGGTTAAAGTTAGGGCTCGATTTCTCACGTTTGTCTGGGGGGGGCGGCGACCACAAAAAAAACATTTCCGCACCTGGCACACCGCATTCCGCATTCATCTTGCTGCAGCTACTCGGCACGTGCCACTTGCCGGTCTACCAGCGACCTGAACAAAAATATTCAGGAAAAGCGCGTGCAGTGGACACCTGAGCAATCCGTGTGCGCAGTCAAATCACTCTCGAAATCATCGCTCAACTTAATCGCCTGCAACGGGCTTTGTCAACATCTGAGCGGCTAGTTGCTCAACTGCTCGCAACTGGCAACAGAGACCTGCACACACGCGATTCAGTTGCGGCAGATCGCTCAGGTGTGTGTGGTCGACGCGCCGTACGAAACCAGGTCCTGCTTAAGGTAACGGAATCCTCAGTTCCAAACGGTAGTACACAGTACTTTTAAGTTGTTAATCTACCGTCAGATGTGTGCCCTTTAGCGCGCCATATCCCGTCATTGAGATTGTTTTAAGGGGCAATAAAGACGATAAAGCGCCTCTGTGATGTGTTTTTTTCTTCTTCTGAATTTCAAAGGGTCGGTGCGAGAGAGCTTGGCCGCACGGAATGTTCCTACGAGCTCGCGGGTTCATTGTGGCCCTCGCCGCACGTGATGATTGGCGCCTAGTGGTCCTGCCCCCCCCCCACTCCACCCCCGTCGTGTGCTTGGGAGTGCCCTCGCCAACGACAATAAGTGCATCTTACAGATGAAACCAGCGGCATTTGTTTCGTGCCTCGACTCTGCTGATGAGACCCAGATGGTCGAAACCCGTCGAGAGTTTGCTCGCTTGAGCATTCGGCTGTCTGCTGGTCAACTCAAGTCTGCCTACCTGGAAGGCCAAGCCAATAGGCCGATACTATGAAACAATATTTAATTTCAAAGTGGAGATGCCAAGTGGAGGCTGATTTCACGTTAAGTGGCTTTAATGGGCGCTTAAAGCCCCCCCCCCCCACCACGTGCTCGCCCATATTTTACGGTGGGAGTGGTGGCGCCGTGGTTAGCGCGTTCGCTGTGAATCCGGCCACTGGAGTTCCAACCCCGCGCCAGTGACATCTAAACCGGTCCTGCACCCCCCCGCCCCCCACCACGATCTCCCGCCTCCCTTCGCTAACCTGCACTGACCAGCGTGGTGAAGTATGGTCTAACGGCATGGCGAGGCCTCCATTTCGCAGTGAATTACCAAATCGGTGTAATGTACAGCACCACATCGATCGTGATTGATGATGACGACGAAGACTACGAATGTATCGACGAGGGCTAATGAGAGCGCTGCGTTTGATTTGTGTGATGTATCGAGTAATACGCCTGTGAAATTAATCCACGGCTGGATGTGGGCTTCCCTACACCTTGTTAGTGCGGGTCGTTTTGGGGTTAGTTGACCCTTATTTTACTTCTATTAATTTTAATTTTTACCTACGTGACTTTACCGAAAAAACCTAAGAATATACTTCCCCGCTCTTTGTCAGCCCGGGGTTGGTGAAGACGGGGGGAGCACGGGTGTACAGGACAACAAAAGCTTCTGCTGCACCGCCCTCTGCTGATCATCACGGAGCAAACATCGCCGAGGAACGTGGGCGCGGGTCTCAGAGGGAGCCCCCTGCTGAGCAGAGAGCTCCATCACAGAGGATGGAGCTCTCTGCGCAGAGGAATGATGTTGCGAGACGCGTGACCAGCACTCGTAGCAGTTCCAGGCACGGGGTTAGGATACCCCATGGTGGACAGTCGTGCGCAGCGACGCGGCGTCTTGTAGTAAGAGAGTGGCGAGGAGAAGAAACTGCACAGAGATATAACGTAAAGTCCTTTATCAATCCACTGCTGTATCAAACCTTCACCCCGTGCACCCGCACCACCTCTTACCGTGTTTGACCATACTTCACCCACGCTCGACGATGTATGTTGGTGACGAAGAATGGGGGGGGGGGAAGGGGGGCAGCGAGTGGGTCGCCGGGATCGGTCCAGGTGTCACTCGCCACTGATGTTAGCCGTGGCCCGCGATCGAACTGTGGTTTGCTGGGTTCAGAGCGCAGTGCGCCGCGTCTCCTACCCCGGGTCGCAAATACGAGCTCGACAAATCCGTCTCTCCGTTCCGTGTCTGCGCGCGTACACATTAAACGCACGTTAGTCTTGCGGACTTGTGAAGACTTCCACGCTCACGGTAGCCAGCAGGATTTGTTGGATCACGAAAACTCTCGACTGGCGCAAATGTTCTGGGTATCATTTGCAGAGTTCGAGGGCGCCAAGCAATTACTGCCGGTTGACCAGGAGGTCGTTGCGAAGTGCACTCCCCCTATAAGGGGTTGTAGCGCAAAAATGTTCGATAAAATAAAATACAAATACAGCACAATGGTGCGGTATTCCCACGTGAAGACACGGAAAGGGAAGGAGATTGGTTTATGGCCCAGAGTGTTCCGCTTGAGGGAAGATGCGTGGCGCTGTGCTTAACGCACCGCGTTGTGAACCTGGTTACGAACATGTCGATATCCCGAGCACGGCTAACATCAGTGGCGATTGAGATCTCAACCGGTTGCTGAGTAACTGTGCTCCCCACATACACCAACTGCGAACTGGCCGGCGCGTAATATTCTCGATCACACTCCACCCCCTCCCACGATTGGATCGACACGCAGCCTTCATCCAGCAGTGGATTTACAAAGTGCGGTGCGTGGTGTCGAGTTCCACTCCCCGTGGGGTCGTTTGTGTAACGCGTGCTGCATGGGAAACTGCGCTCCCTCCCCGCAGAGAGCCACGAGCTAAACCCTCTCATCGCAGTCCCAGTGCCATTCAGGTGACGGTGGTCTCGTGCTAATAATAAGCCGTGTCCTGGTAATTTAGCGGACTTCGCCTCTCATTGTGGGCAATAAAGATGCACATCTCGGCTTCCTACGTAAACACATGCAATCACCGGCATGCCACACCGCAACACATAAACGCACGCGTGGATAAATTTATAAACGTGTTGTGTAATAATAATAACAACAACAACATATTTTACAGCCCTTGGCCAAATCAACATGCTAAGATGAAGGTTTAGACTCCCCACGTCTTTCGAATGTGGATGATGGACCACGCTGCTCCGTGCGGGTTCGAGATTCAGGAGCGGCTGAGATATCCCTCGCCAGTGACGTTAGCCGTGGTCGGGGATCGCTCGCCCCGTAGCCACACCCCCCCTATGCCTACAACAGCAAGTGCCAAGCCTCTGCGACATGCTTCGTTTTCAGTGATGAGACGAGATCGGGCACGTTAGCGGGGTACATTTGTCCAGAATGACGCCGACGTTTCGACTCTTGCCCTAACACAACAAACCGCGACGATGTTCGTGAGTTCCGGCCCCGGTTACCGTGAGTGGCGTCTGATATCTGAACAGATTCTGAGCACCATTCACCAACCTGCATCGCATGACCTGTGTGGTGAAGTATAGTCATCGCACCAACTCCCATGATCAGACAACTTCGTGGGAAGTCATTCATGCTAGCAGTGGATCGACACGTGCATGGCTGTAATTTGTAATTTTTCTACACACATCGTATGTCAAATTGTGAATGTAGTTTGCGATGTTCAGCGTTTTTGAGATGCAACGTATATAACCGACGCTATCTCAGCTATAATTATGATACAGTATATAAATACTATATTAACTGTAGGATTCACACAGCGCAAATAGCGCCTGAAAGCCGCAGCATTGGCACACGCGCACACACCATCCAGAGAGAGGCGTTTAGTAGCGTGGAAGGCACAGACCCCCGATGCAAGGAGATGGAATTGGGGAACTCTGTCCCCCCCTCTCCTTACTCGTAGGCCGGGCACCTGCATGGTCGCTCTGGCCCCTGGGCCCGATGCGGCTGCACCGCGCTCACGCACAATCGCAACGCCACTGATAGCGCCGTGGCTTTGCAAAGTCCATCCCCACCCCCAACACACACACACGCACAAACAGACACACCCACACACGCACACACACACACGCATCCACCCCCAACACACACACCCACACACGGACCCACACACGCACACACACGCACCCACCCCCAACACACAAAGGGAAGCACGCACACACACACGCACAGACACACACGCAAGCACCCACACACGCAGACACGCGCATACACACACCCACACGTACACACCCACACACGCACGCACACACCCACACACACACGCACACACACATCCACACACGCAGACACACGCATACACACACCTACACACACAGACACACACGCACATACACACACACACACAGACACACACGCACATACACACACACATACACAGACACACGCACACCCCCACCCGCGTGTCACCCGCCCCCCGCTGTGAGCGCCGCGTTTGTCCTGCAGGCGGCGGCACGCGACTCGCGGCTCCGCGGCAATCGGACTCCCAAAATCAATTTACATTTTCATTAAACAGGGAGTGTAGGTGGGTGGGTGGTGGTGGTGGGTGGGTGGGTGGTGGTTATAATCGGGGAAGGGCGCAACCACAAATAAGGGAGAAGTGCTTGTCGCGCAGGTGAGGGTGTGCGCGTTTGTTTGTGTCTACTGGAGGTGGAGGAGAGGGGGGTGCATTTTATATATAAGCGACATCGGCTGTCTCGGGCAGTTGTGCTCAGAGCGAGCGGCCAGGTGCTGTGCGCAACCCAGAGGGTACCTTGTGGGCTGAGTTAGGGGGTGCGCGCTTCACTGCTCTGCTCGCTCGAGGCAAATCAGAAGAGGACGAGGAGGGTGCTCGTACTCGCGTCTCCCATCACCAGCAGCGCCTCCTCGCTCGATTCTCCCAAGTCCCAGCCACCCGCCACCTGCCCGCCGGGTCAAGATGCTATTTTGGCACACGCAGCCGGAGCACTATCACCAGTACACGCCTCCCAACAGCTACCTGCGGTAAGCGAGCCTCGCGGCGGGCATGGCTGGCTTGTGTTTGGGAGGAGGAGGAGGAGGTAGCATGGGGAATGGGCAGGTAGCGGGGAACGCACGGGGGGGTAGAGAGAGAAAACGCGTGTGCTTGGGACGCGGTGGTTGTTCGGTTTATGTCCACCCAGGAGACCGCTTTAGTGCACGGTTAATGGTGAGTAGTGGAGAGGATTAGTGGAGCAAGCACGTTGTGGACGATTTTCGATGTTTAGATGATGATCATCAATTTCGCGCGAGTGAAAAGTAAAGCTCGAAGCCGTTTGAATCCCGCTCAAGGCTAACATCAAAGGCGAGTGATATCAGGTTCATACGTGAACGTTTTATAAATGCATATATTTTTTGGTCAAAGAAAAACAATTATGTCGCCGTTTGAAATGATCTCCGTGTCTCAGCATGATAATGAAATTGGAATGTATTTAGTTTTGATTAGATTATTTATGGAAATGTCACAGAAACGCGGTTTCATTATCACAGTGCTAATAATGTTAATGGGTATTGTACAGTGCCGCTGAATGTTAAATTGTTAACTAAGGCTCTGTCTGTTACCGAGGTCACCTTTGCCAAATCGGATTTATCTGAATACGCTCTTGACCTGGTTACAATACGTGTATGTGTCTGCGTGCGGGGATCGGTGGTGCAGTGATTAGCGCACTCCGCTATTAACCCGAGTACCTGAGTTCGATTCCCGACGCCGTCCAGCATTAGCGACGAGTTATAATCTGAACCTCTATTTCTGCCAATCCGCACTGCCCAGTGTGGTGAAGTATGGTCAAACACCCGACGCGGCGTTTGGAGGCCTTTATCCAACAGCTGATTAACACAAACTTAATTTGTCAGTCCACTGCTGAATGAAGGCCTCCCTAATTAGGACTGCACATTCATATTGTGTTGTATTACACCTTAATATATTGTATATATATATTGGCCTGCATAGCTTCTCGCTAACATCACTTGCCCCAACAGTTTTAGTGTATACCTTGACTAAACTGTTACGGAAAATCAATTGTGTCCAAACTTTGGTTTCCTCCGCCGATCCCAATAACCAGCCCCACTTTAACACGATCCACTCCTCTTACCCATCACAACTACGGGGTCAGACGGCTCGTGGGTAATTGGGGACGCCACGGTCTCGATGCTCACTCAGGAACATGCATTTCGCTTTAGCTATTTACATTTGAACTAAGACTGAGGGTTACCTGAGTTGAGAGACCAGTGGGATCACGTGTTGGGGCGCCACGATGGCGAGATGTTAATGACCTCGCCTGGTATACAGGAGGTCGTGGGTTCGATCCCGACCCTGACGCCTGCTGTTGTATATTTGGAGTTTGCGTGTTCTCCCCGTAATTACGTGGAATTTTTTCCGGGTCCTCCGGTTTTCCCTCCACATTTAGAATCATGCGTTTAGAGTAGTTGGCTGCAATAAATGTCCACATAATAAGCCACTTCATTGTGGCCAGGTCACTTCTTCCTGTGGTAGTGTGGATTTTTCTCCGGCTCCTCCAGTGTTTCCCCACAACATCTAGAAACATGCGTTTAGAGTATTTGGCTGCTATAAATTTATACATCGATGACAAGTCACTGTGTTGAGCAATCACAGAGGTTGGCAACCAAATGAACAAGAAGCGGCATTTCTTTCGAATTCGGTAAAATAAAAACTCTTTCAAGAGCTGCAATGCACTGTGGTGGTGAATGCGAGACGGTGATCCTTAATAAATAACGTCACGAAGCAGTCTTTAAAGAGCCGCATGCGGCTCCGGAACCGCGGGTTACCGACCCCCTCGAGCTATTATCTGTGGCCAGGTCGCTCCTGAAAAAGAGCCATTTAGCTCATTGAGCCTTACCTGGTGAAAAAAAAATCCTCCGCGGCCAACCACTGCAGAGAGAGAGAGATCGAGACGAAGAAGAAAAAGAAGGGTAGGTAGCGCGGTTTGTTGATTTACGACTCTTGATTTGTATTTATTGAGCCCGTCCGTTGCGCTGTCCTCCGCGCTACGTTTTACTGCCGAGATGTGCGGCCCGATAGCGTGGCGCCTCTCGGGGGCAGGTGAGCGAGGGGCACCAGCGGGGGGGTTACGCCCGCGTCTCCGCACATGAAACGGAGCTGCCGTGTTCACATGGAGGATGATGATGATGGTGGTGGTGGTGGTGGGGTCGACTTCCCCTTCCCCCGCCCTCCCTGCGCTCATTAGCGATCTTCAAACGGGACGGGTTGATTTACACAGCCCGCAGTGACCGCGGTGCTGAGTGCGGTTTTTGCGCATTAACATCCGAGCCGGTGATTGTCTTGAAACGCTCGCTAAAGACGTCGTCTTGACGTGTCCCCCCCACCATCCCATCCCCCCAGTGTCCGCATACTTCACGTGTTGTAGGAAAGCCGCTTCGATCGAACACCAATTGATTGTTTTAGGCCGTTCCATTTTTTGTCGCAACGAATTCGGGGCTGTCGGCTTATGCGCTTGTGTATTGGTTGCACGATTAATCCGCGGTGGCCGTTGTATCCCTTGAACGCACGCGCTTACATCACCTGCTTAAGTGCGGTAATAAATATTCTAATTTGGAGTTTCATCGAACATTACAAAAAAAAACACATTCTTTATAAAAACACATGAAACAGACAGACCACTGAAATCCACATTCTGCACGGCCCTTTTGTAAAGCCACTGGTCGCGTCGGTTATTTGACCATTCTCCAATACGCTTCGTGACTTGCTGATGGCACACTGAATGTCGAAACCGGTCCACAGTTTTGCTTGTGATGAACCAAAATCCTGCTGATAAAAGACGCACTCCCAGCGGGCCCGCGTGGACAATGCGATGTCTACAAAATGCGTGTCTTGTCTTTTGTCGAGGGACAGACGTGGGAAGGAGGTACAAATAACCAAAGAGTAAGGAGCTAAACGTTCTGCTTATTCATAGGTCGAGTCTGGCGGGGAACAGTGCTTGAAGCAAACCATCCGTATGTGAAGGGTGTGTAATCGTGTCTTTATACACGTATAGCACTTAATGTTTATTGGGCGGGGGGGGGGGGAATATCAGTGACGACAAATGGTCCATTGTTAGTCACATCGCTCTTCTCGAGGCGCCGTAATACGTTCTGAATAAACGCTTAAGTACAGCGCTCCATTCATTAAGTGGATGGATATCACATCTTACTAAAACATAGAGTCAATGAAGCGCTTGGGCGCAAGAGGCTAAATCAACTCAAAGTGTAGTTGGTGTGTGAACGTGGGGGCGGCGAGCGACGCATTGCGCCATAAACTCAGCCAGAGGCCTTCATCCAGCAGTGGATTAACAGTTCTGTAAATTATACTAATAGGGTTTTTCCCCTTTTTTCTGGCAAGAAAAAAAGGGGAAAAACCCTATTAGTATATTTTGGTACTGGCAAAGGAGATCCCATGATGAAGTTCTGTAAATTATTACTTGTAATGATGAAAACTATGCACGTGCAAAGTTTTACATTTTAATCACAATACAGTACATTAAGTCGTAGCAATATTACCTTTCACAATATTTTAATGTGGCTAATAACATATCTACAATTGAGCTGTCTCTAGCATGGTACATGGGGTTGCGTTTTTCTGGTCAAATAATAAAAATAACCCGTAAAAACAAAGTTTTTCACTCTAAATCCTTTATATGCGTGGCGGCTCGAGTCCTCTCGTCCTCTGGCTTGAGATGGCTGCCACCTATGGGTCAGATGATTGTCTTCCAGCATTAAGCAATTGGTAATTAAATATTTAAAAAAATTCCCCTAAACAGTGTAAAATTTTGGAAAACATTTTTCACGAAAATTAATTGTCACGCACAATGAGTCTGTGTGGAAAATGTCAGCTCGATTGGATCACGGGAAGTGGGTTAAAAAACGACCGAAAGATTTGCACGGTCGTAAGCAAGCACGCAAGCACGCAAGCAAGCACGCAAGCACGCAAGCAAGCAAGCGAACTTAATATAAAGGATATAAAAAAGACAAAGATCCCCCATGTAGCCTATAGAAGACCGTTGGGGAAAGTGCTGTTGGCCAGCACCTATTAAAGCCCGCTTTGTGCCCCCAAGGCTCACGTGCTCACGCACCGCACCAGTTGCAGCACTCATTTACGGCTGAGACGACCTAAGGAAGGCCCAGGACCGGTTCAAATATTCGCCACTGCTCTTGGTCGTGAGCGGGATAATCGAACTCGGGTAGCCGTGTGCACAGTACGCGCACAGGACGCGCACACAGCCACGTGTAGTTAGTTATTCGTCTTGCTGCATAAAGGGCCGCACGCGTGTTACTCAAAAATTGAGTACAACAACAACAACAAAAAATCCCCCAACTTTTCAACGAATAATTAACCTCCTCTACGCGCCGCTTATTTGTTTCGGGAAACAAACCAAATATTTGACTAACTTCATTTAACCTGAACCTTGCGTGCGGGCGCGTTAATTGGGTCATCAAAGCACCGCGCTTGGCGCACTGGTAACGCGGAGCTTGAACGCCACGAATGATTACCCCGCATCGGCCCGCGGCAACGTGAATTCACCATGGGGGGCATGTGGGGGGGGGGGCATGTGGGGGGGGGGGGCATGTGGGTGGGGGGCAAGTGGGGGGCAAGTGGGGGGCAAGTGGGGGGGGGGCAACGTTGGGAAGCGGGCGACGTCCTTTAAATTGGTGTCGTCACACGTGCATCCCCTTATCAGTTGTGCCAGACGGGCAGAGGTGGTGGGTGGGTTGGGTGGCAGCGCGCTGAACACTGTGGCATTGGTGTCAGGATCTCTCCTGACACCAGGCTGGATGCAGTGGCTGTGCCTCCGTGCTGATTCTAGATTTGAAGCTTTCGTGACTGCAAGGATTCATATTCTTAGGTTTTTTCGGTAAAGTCACGTAGGTAAAAATTAAAATTTATAAAAGTGAAATAAAAATAAAATAAAAATCACGACGTTTCGGAGGCAACACAAGCTTCCGTCTTCAGGTGGAACCGTCACAGCACGATTGCTGTATCAAGTGAGAGGAAGCCTGTTGCCTCCGAAACGTCGTGACACAAGCTTCCGTCTATCTGAAGACGGAAGCTTGTGTTGCCTCTGAAACGTCGTGATTTTTATTTTATTTTTATTTTACTTTTATTAATTTTATTTTTTTACCTACGTGCTGAGTTTACTTTTGTAAACGAGTTGAACACCGCCAGGTTCAGCCTAGGGTGACATGTAACGCTCGGCTGTCATCGTAAGAATCATAATATTTATTTATCCTGGAGGAATCCGATGAGTTATGAAGACATCTGATGAGCTATAATGAGCTGCTGCAGTAGCAGCCGTGCCATCATGATCATCATCATCATCATCAGAGCACTGTTAGTATCATCATTATTGGCTGCAGCAGTACCACCATCATCGGCAGCGTTATCATCGCCAGCGTCACCACGCATCATCATCCACCATTATACATTTTCCATCGCTATTCATTTATATTTTTTTCATCTTGCCATTTTCGTGAGTCGTCCTCATGCTTTTTTACATTGTTGAAATCAAAGTCTATATAATTGTATGATTTATTTAAAAAAACCAAGCCAAAATAAGTAAGCTAATTATCAGCTTTAATCTCAATCTCAATATTTGGCGCAAACCAGAGGTTATGTTTGTCCCAAAACAAAACGAACATTCATTTCTTACTGATAAGATAAATTATATCTCCATGTTTAAAAGTACTACAATTAATTTATTCTGACTTCATGGCTTGTTATCCTGACTTCCTGGATCTTGTCCTGGTTATGTTTTGATGTCGTTTTCAACAAATCGTCGTATCTGATTGCTAACTTTTATTGACGGGCGAGCTGAATCAATAACTATTTGGGTTGGTGTTAAATTCGTGTGTGGCACATGTGACAATTTGTTTGGCTATGTCAGGTGGTGGATGGCCTTCACGAGGCAGATTTGGTAAGATAATTTCGTGGCCTAACACAAATATATAGAAAATCATGACATTGGTTTGCGAAAGCCGATTGTGTTAACACTGTTTGAGACTAGGCTCTAAAGAAAGCTATCTCTGGTGTGGACCAATCAGTTTTAAAGACAATGCATATAATATCAGAGCATTTTTTTTTGCATGTTCACCACAAGTATATGTGGTGAATGCAGACATGATTCCTTGCAAACGGTTTCTGTTTGGTGTTTTAACATCTTAACACCTGTTTTATTGCCAGAAAGGGTAAAGCCTATTCTTATATTTTGATTCTGGCAAGGGAGGTCCCATGATGATAAGACAGTGTTTCGATTTAAAGCTTTCGTGACTGCAGGGATTCATCTTCTTGGTTCTTTCGGTAAAGTCACGTAGAAGGGAAATAATAAAATAATAAAAATAAAACATAATAATGTATTTTATTATAATAATAAGAATAAAACATAATAATGTATTTTATTATGTTATATTTGTATTATTTTATTATTTCCCTTCTACGTGACTTTACCGAAAGAACCAAGAAGATGAGACAGTGTTGTTCACGGGTTTGAGTTTTTAAGTACAGTAATATGATATGTTACGCTTAATAGAAATTAAAACAAGTTAATTTGAATAGCAGTTAAGATTTCAATTAAACTTTCTCCTCTCCCCATTATCTGGAGGTTCTGGTGGCCACTTGCAGAGTAGACTTTGACATTTCGCGCAACATTTCCACTGTCAGTAAAATGTAAGCCTGTTACGATATAAGATTTTGTGAAAACGTAAAAAAATGCGGTGCAAGGTACATTTTCACACTGATCAATCACACTAAAGTTAAAATGCAGTTATAATACAGTTCAATTGTATAATATTCGCACAATTAGTTTTTAAACCATTACACTAAGCATTTAAGTCATATATCAACTCGTGTGCAGATTCTCGATGGATATTTTCCTCGCAGGAATGTGGAACCGAGTGTCGACTTGTGGAGGCTGTGTTGAATGATGACGAATATTCATAATCGTCACGTATGGCCCTTGGCCAATCCACTTCTGGATCAAGGTCTCCTCCTCACCCCCTATTGGTCACTGAGGCTGTGTTGACTGAACACAACACTGGCCAGTGTGGGTTGGTAAAGAGGGATGAGCCAAGACTGGTTCAGACATCACTCACCACTGATGTTAGCCGTGGGCGGGATTCAAACTCGGGTCGTATGGTTCATGGCACGGTTGTGTGCTAACCGTTTTGCCACCGCCCGCCCGCTCCCCCTAATGAACAATGTTTAAAGTATAAAGATATTAAGTTCAAGTTCATTTATTAGGTATAGCCCTGTGAGCCATTCGGCTCTTGAATCGGGTGCAACCGCAACAAACAAAAAACAAAAACATGAACATAAGCGTCGGCATGGTGGCATCAACAGCTTTGGCCATGATACGATCTCGAAAAGTTTAATCGGATTATGTAATAGCCAGCCTGCATTGTCTGGTCATGCCGTGCGAGCGAGCGGCGTGTGGCGCTGTCGGAGGAGAGGGGATCGACACCGCTCACCTCTGACTCCGCGCGACGAGTGACGGTGCTGACGGGCTGCGTCGGCACAGTCTGGGTCGAGATGCCCCTGCCGCCGATGGAGAGATTGCCGACATGGATTGTTGTTGTTCAAGCGTTCTGAAAAGCTGTCAGCCTGAAGCGAGCGCCGCGAAATTAAATTTTGCCAAACAAAAAAAAATGCTTAGCTCTCAGCAGTCTGCGGCAGCCACCTATGACCACGTGTGTCACCTTCCCCCCCCCCCACCCCCTTCACCTGCATAGCCGCGGCGGCGCGTGCATTGTTTTAATTTTCCCACGCTCTTCTTTGTGCGTGCGCGTCTGCAGAGACGTGTTGGCGCTGCCCATCTTCAAGCAGGAGGAGAGCAACATGCCCAGCGAGCCGGACTCCAAGTCGCCGCCGCTCCAGTACGTGATGTGCGCGGCCAGTTCGCCGGCCGTGAAGCTGCACGAAGAGACGCTCACCTACCTCAACCAGGGTACGCGCTGCTGCTGCTGCCCGCCGATTGACCGAATATTTCCTGCGTCGATGGTGGACTGGAGTAGGTGGCGTGTGACTGGCGGCCACGGGCACGCCGCCGAGGGGACGTGTGTACCAGCTGCGGAAGTTTCGATTTAAAGCTTTCGTGACTGCAGGGATTCATCTTCTTGGTTCTTTTGGTAAAGTCACGTAGAAGGGAAATAATAAAATAATAAAAGTAAAACATAACAAAATAATTCTCACGACGTTTCGACCACAACGCAAGCAGCCATCTTCAGGTGGAAAACAGGTCTGTCGAGAAGGCGTTGTGGCCGAAACGTCGTGAGAATTATTTTGTTATGTTTTATTTTTATTATTTTATTACTTCCCTTCTACGTGACTTTACCGAAAGGACCAAGAAGAGGAGCTGCGGAAGTATTATTCCAGGTCGGCCACCATCCCTGATTACACCCGTCTTAAGGGAAGAGAGAAGCCAAACAAAAACGAATGGCCCATATCTTGTAGCTATTCAGGCCCTGGGTCCCAGGCTGTCTGAGACGTTTCAACTTTCTATATGAAAAAAGATATATTTATTTTAAAAAATGTAATCAACGAGCGTGCGGCAGCTAAATTGACTGTTGTATCACGGGACTGTGAGAGATGGTCTTCATCCAGCAGTGGATAGGTCATGGCTAATGAAAATTCATCGTGGCCAGCTGCTCTCTCATAGCACTCGACTGATGTCACTGCATTGATGTATTAGAGTGCCGTAATAATGCAATTGATTCTAACTTTAACATATTTAACATTTAAAGAAGCATCAGACGTACCTATCATTATCAGAGTTTTTAGTTTTGTTGGGTTGCATATTCCTTCCATCAACGTATATAGGCACTCGGCACAAGTAAGGCAACTGTCATATCTGTGTTTGTTGCCAATTTATCTCAGTTTTTTCATGGGGTTGTTTGGCAAGATCCACGTGAAACGCTGAGCTAGAAGCTTCTGTGTGACGTTGGCGTCTCTCAGTGTCCGATTTACAATTAACTTGTGCAACGTAAGTTACACACACAATGCTAATTGACCAGTCAGCCCCACCTCCTGATAACGCTGTTTGTCCACGGGGTTCTGAATGTTCAGATGCAATACAAGTGATGCGGCAGTAACCAGAGATGACCCATATTGATTTCGTTTTTAAAAAGCCTTATGTTCAGAGCAAAGGGTAGCATGAGACCAGTCCACGTTGCCATTACCTGAGCCTTTGTGCCGGACAAAGTTTTACGTGCTCTTTGCAATCCCAAAGGACACGACTCAACGATTTCAGGGCTTGAGTGTGGTCATGTTCAGTAGAGGTGGCGTTTTCCAGCACTAAAGTGCATTTTTCTGTCACAGTTTAGCAGCGCCATTAATATTACGGAGTCTGGCCAGACTGACATTTGTGCTGATTTCTGGCTCACGTGTAGACAGGTATTGGGTGCAGGGTGGTAATTAAGTCGAGTCTCAGTCCTTCTTCTCGCTGTCCTCCCCTGCAAACATGCATCAAATGCCACCTCCGTGAAGTGTTTCTGGTTTCACCGTCTCTCTCTCTCTCTCTCGCCCGTGCTGACAACTCAGCCTCTGGATATTGAATGCCTCTCGCGCTTTGACAGCACATTAATAAAGCTACCTGTGATGATGTCGGTCACGGGTGTCCACGCAGTCTGCACCAGCATGTGGGCACTGCCTCGGCTGCACAGGTGGTGTACCGCGTGTGATTGTGTACGTTGTGCAAAAAAACAACACATGGAGTGGAATAAGTTGATGGATTCCACGACTAGAACGCAGAGAGCACCTGCATGAGCTCCGCAAGGGAAGGAGGACTCGATGGGCATGAGTGCACTTTACGAGCGCACGCTCTTAGATTTCATCGTTGGGCAATCCCGCTCGAGCGTAAAATGCTGGTACCACATAGCAACGACATCGTTAGGCACACGCTATCAGGAAGTAAAAATGATGCGTAGCGGTCGGTTAATAATTTATTTCTCTTGGCGTGTGTGTGTGATTTTTTTTATGTTCCCCATTGCATTATGCTGCGATTGCTTCAACCACACGATGCCAACTGTGGCATCGGGTTTATGTCGTGAGTGAGATGCGCTCCCTGCGCCCCGGCGCACGCTCGCTCGCGTCGGTGGCCACGCGTCGCTCTGTTGCCGTCGGTGCCTCTCGCTCATTTATTCACAAAAGTTGGATATCGCTCCATCTCGCGCGTCGCAGTGTTTCGGGGTTGTTAACATGGCAACCGATGCGGCCCGGTAGCGCCAGAACAGCCTGCCCTAGCAGCCGCGCTGACTTGGGTGAGCGCACCCCCGTTGTGCCTGGCTGCGCGAATGAGGGATTGAACCATGGCTCAGGTTTTGTTTGATCTTTGACCCGAATGACAGGGAGCACATAAATGGCAGAAGTTCCATTATTGCCCGAGGTCGGCTGCTTGCATTTTCTTTCCCCATGAGCAGCTATTCTGTGCCTCTTCTGTCGTCACATCCACTCTCCTCACATCTCGTTTCATAGCATCCTTCCCTCTCACCCTCGGTCTCCCTTTCCTCCTGCCACCCTGCACTGATGGCATCTCCATAGTTCTTCTAAACGCATCTTCTCTGTCTCATCTCAACACGTGCCCAAGCCATATTTTAATTATTCTCGAACATATTATGAATCCAACTGAGGTTCATGAAGTAAAAAATAATAATAAAAAAATGAAGCAGGATTTATTATGTAATTTAACTTCTTTGCAACTTTGTTTTTAATGCCACATACCTATATCTCAGGCCATGTCACTGTGACATTTAACCCACAGTAATAACCAGTGTCCTATGTTTCCTGCACCATTAAATCTGGACAGTACAATACAACGTAGATGAACATAGCATCTAAGTGCTACTGCACATCAAGACACCGTACGTAAACAGTGGGCAACCCCCATTAATACAGGCAATCCCAACGTGCTATGCATCAGATACTATGCTTGAAACAGATAACTGCACTGAGCCAAACGGCTGAGAAGCGGTGTTAAAACTCAACGTGAGTTTACGTTAACCACCGTCACTGGCAAGACATTTCGGAACGGTCTGTCCGCGGACGCTCAGCCCATAATACCAGTTCTCCCGCTGACGTTTTTTGGCCCCTTAAAATTGTGGAAGAGCGAGCGATACCGTTCTGCCTTGTTTACGCTGTGCCATCTCTCCTGTTCCTTGCCGTGCCGTCCCTACACTTGCGTAGGGCAGTCGTACGAAGTGCGATTGCTGGACAACAGGAAGATCGGGGAGCTGGCTGAGCTCAACGGGAAGCTCGTGAAGGTAATGCTCGCAGCCACCGTCTCTCAAAAGGCACGCTGAAAATAAACCGGCAGATGCACGCCACCAGGACGCGCTGTTCTTGGGCCGCGTTTCCCACCCTCCACCCTTGCAAACCAACCACCCCCCACCGCTCCCTCCACTATCCATCAGCCCTGGAACTGTGCCCGAGTTTGGCGTTCGGCTAAAGTCCATCCTGTTTTATTTAAATATAAACGTCATTAACTGATTTGGCAACCTTTTCTTGATGGTAGCAAAGAATGCCGCACGATAACTTATGTCCCCATGTGTGATATCAGATAAGAGTAATGCATTGTGATGAATAATCCTCTTCCTTCTAATCACACGGGGTACATTGGCTACAATAACAAATAACAAAACATTGCGCTGGTTGAGAATTGCAGTCGCTGGCATCTGCTGCACCCTTCTGGATCGCTCGCAGCGAGCCCAGGCCGTAAATCATGAGCGTGGTACATCACACCTCCTCGGCACTCGCTGTCTCCTCAGTGCGCAATCTGGGGTCTGCCCGTCATCTATTATTTATACAAGAGCCTCCCACGCAGTACATCTCAATGTAGCCAGGACAAAGGAGTATCTGTGATACATTTTCAGGATGGAAGTGATTGCAGACCAGATGAAAAAACAATACAGTATAGACATTATGCACAACGAATGAGAATAACAACGAAAAGCTCAAATGTGCTTGAGATTGCCCTCTTTTTTTATCCGCTTCAGAATCCAAATATTTTATTTACACCGGAGGCATCCGATGCGCTACGAAGCTATTTTTCACAGATGTCCAGTAGGGGCGGGTAAGAACGTTACAACAACAATACACAAACATGATAGTAGTACAAAGTACAACAAAGGTAAACAAATCACCCAAACACGTACACATACAACTAGACCATCCCCACAACACCAAACTCCGGTGTGAGAGCAACCGCAGGACACTACCCCAGTAGTGTGCACCCACCCCCAGGCATTTATCGGTGGCCTTGTATCTCATGGTTGGCGTTGCTGGGCGTGTGTGCTCATGTGCAGAGCATCGTGCGCGTCGTGTTCCACGACCGGCGGCTGCAGTACACGGAGCACCAGCAGCTGGAGGGTTGGCGCTGGAATCGCCCAGGAGACCGCATTCTTGACATTGGTAATTGCCATGGTTTTGGCAACTGCAGAACCGCCTATACGTCAAAAAGTCGCCCACATTTCTTTTTTCGGGGCATAGGGGGTGGTGCCCCCACCCAAAAAAATAATCGTTAACGTCATTTAAAAAATATTTATTTCAAATCGATTCAAAATATGGATGGGGGGGGCAGCTTTGTCTAGCCAAAATTTCGGAATCTCCTTGACCGACTCAAGCCACTCCCACCGAGCGCTGCCATCCTTCGCCAATTAATTAATTTAGCAAAAGGGGTGAAAATAATTCCACACCTGGAGAAAAAAAGGCCCAATTCCTTCTCACAGCAGCCCACCAAAAATCTGACCTGCCAGCCACCACTGGTGACCAATGGATCTCCAATTATCAGAATTAAGACTTCACTTCTTTTAGCTCCCAAGGTGACAAATTCAAAAAAGAAATGCCATGCATATCTACTAAATCTCTTGGGAATCTCATACACGTTGACTGGGCCTGAAATTGCAAGTCAGCATTTGCTCTGCATGCCATTCAAAGAGCCCAGCAGTATTGCGCTAGTAAGCACTGCGGAACAAAAATGTGGCACGCTATCAATTTTTTTAATCTTTCCGCCGAATATCACCGCCTGAGATGCACGTGTTTCGAATAAGGGGGGTGCCCAGCCAGCATTGTGAAAAACGTACTTTTAAAATTTATTTTTTGAGGATTTTTGCAGCTAGAGAGAAAATATATCCACCCAACCCACCAGGGGTTCTAACAGCCTCCTCCTGCAGTGGGATGTTATCAAGGATGCCACAATTTGAGCATTTTTGTTAGAGAAGGTGGCAGGATGCAGAGCTGGCTGCCTGCTTCTGTATTACACGTGCACACTGGACCTAAAGAGGGTTGGCGTTAGAATTAGAGCAAGCCAAACCAACAAACACGTCACTGACGAGCACCTCATTCTTGCACATCTTGGCAGTGTTGCCGTCTACTGCCTCCTTGGATTGGTTGACAAAACTGAACATTCAACTATAACATCCATCAAAACTATTGCCTTTTCATTATGCCATACGAAAGAAGAAGAATCATTTGATATTTGCCCCCATCTTGTAGTGCAAGTCCATCACGAAGGCACTGTTTCACAGAGAGCCATAGTCAGCAGTAGCTTCACGGTAGGAAGCGCCATTGCTATATTGCTTCATCCCAGTTAGGTAATTTACGTGTCATTTTCAAATGTAGACTATAACGTACACACACATGACCTGTTACAGGATCTGTAACATTCACTGTTGAAGAAGCAGACGGGACACATTTTTGATGCACACACACTATTAACCAGTTAATCTGTGCTAAAAACATGGTAATGTGAATTATCAGCCCATGCTGTGGCTGATAATTATTTAGTTAATTCGTTGCCGTATTTCTTCCGCACATGGTTAGACGTGCCGCTCTCCGTGGGGATTGTGGACCCACGCACGAACCCCACTCAGCTCAACACCGTCGAGTTCCTCTGGGACCCGACCAAGCGCTCCTCTGCCTTCATCCAGGTAACACAGCCAGGGCAGTAGTGAGCTCGACCATCCGATGAAATAATAATCATCGTAATACATAATATTTATAGCCCTTTGTCAATCCACCATGACAACCTTTACATACCATGTCACTCGTGGGGATTGTTTTAACATGGTGGTCAGTGTGGGTTGGTGAAGGAAGGGAGCAGGTCCAGGAATGGTTTAGATATTATTCCTACACCGACGCCAACCAGTGTGGGAATTGAACTCCGGTCATAGAGTTGATAAGCGAAGTGTGCAAACTACTGTGTAAACGCTCCACTCCCGGCAATTTACTACTATATTTACCCAAGAATGCCAGTGTGTAATGCGCGTGACGTCACTCCACGTCGACCAGCCCCCCTCATTAATAATACTGAACAGGTTTCGTCCTCCACATGGACACCCCTTATTAATAATCATGAGCAGGTGACGTCACTCCAAATGGACACCCCCCCACATTAATAATAATTAGCGGGTGACGTCACTCCACATGGGGGGGGGGGGGCGAGGCGCCTCCTCCCCCCTCCTCGGCGTCAACTCACAACCCTCACTACAAAGGCAGAACCCTCACGTCACGTGGTCTCCGTAGCGCTATTGAGACATCAAAGTAAAAAGGACGTCATGATGAACAAGGGATTATAACCTTTAAATGAAATAAGTCTGTGTCACTGCGGCCTTACAAATTGCACACGAATTGATGCAATGAATATATCACGTCGCGGTCTGCTCTTCACTTGCAAGTTTCAGATTTACTGCAATACACCCGTCCTTGGACGTGCAAAAGTCTAGTAATAATAATAATATATCCCATTCATACCGCGGTTTATGTAAGACTACTGCAAGAATCTTTAAACTGTGCACATCCTTCATGTATCTTTCACGCAACAATTTGTACAAATTAGCTTGGGCGGTACATTAATGTCACTCGTACGCTCTTATCACAAATCGTGCTCATATTTAAAATTCCTCACTGCAAATATTTATTAAAAAGTGCTGACTGAAAACCCAGACTGTGGAAGCAATTGCATGACTCAAGTCGTAATGTGATACTGGTTCGCCAGTGTCAGATAAATGTTAGCAACGAGCTCGGTCGTTTAGATAACTCCTTTAAGCGTTTGGCGATAAAAAAAAACTGGCAACACGGAAAACAAATAATCTGTCGGCTTTTCTCGATGTCACGTGACGTGACCTGCGTACAGGTGAACTGCATCAGCACGGAGTTCACGCCGCGCAAGCATGGCGGTGAGAAGGGGGTGCCCTTCCGAATCCAGTTCGATACATTCAAGCAGGACGAGAGTGGGGAATACACAGAGCACCTGCACTCCGCCAGCTGCCAGGTCAAGGTCTTCAAGGTGAGGACACACCGAATCCTTAAGGCTGTGTGTGTGTGTGTGTGCTACCATAACAAAGATAGAGATCTCCCGTATAGCCTTAACATACTGTTGGGGCATGTGTCATTAACGAGGACCTATCAAGGCCGGCACGGCACACGATGTGGTGGGTGGCCAGCACCATGCCCGGCCGCCTTTGTCTCCCAAGTGATGATGTTTACACATGGCACCAGGAACTCATTTGAGGCTGAGTCGACCGAGGAGAGGCCCAGCACCAGTTCAGATAATCGTCACAGGTGTTGGCCGTGAGCGGGAATTGAACTTGGGTCGCCGGGTTCGTCGCACAGCGCACTAAGCGCGGCACCACTGCTCTCCAAACAAAACACATTACACGAAAATAATAAGTTTAACCCTTTCTGGAAATAAAACAGGTGTTAAGATGTTAAAACACCAAACAGAAGCCAAGGAATCCTGTCTGCATTAATCGCATATACTTGTGGTGAACACGCAAACAAAAACATGCTCTGATAGTATATGATGATGCATTGTCTGTGAAACTGATTGGTCCTCACCAGAGACAGCTTTCTTTAGGGTCTAGTCTTAAAGTGTTCGACCAGAGAATGCCAAAAGGCGAACACCACAAAGAGAATGCCACTATCAGGGCATTTATAGCTCGGGGTGAGCAGCTACAATATGGAACCTTTTTTTAGACACACACATTACACACATACAGCCTCAACATAACGGGGTGTGGAAAAATCAGGAACCACACGTGTGAAGAGCAAACAGGGCTGAGACCCTGACCGAGTGGTAATGCATTTGCTGCTTGTTACAGAGAGGTTCACGGTTTGAGCCCGGCGGCCACCCTGGTTAATACTGCGGTTGAATAAAAACAAATGTTTCCGGCTGCTTCATAGTGGATGCTAAAGATCCTGTGCGATGTTATTCGAAAAGAGTGGCCATTGTGTAGAGGTGTTATGGTCCAGCTTTGCTAAATATGAATTTTTTTTGCAAATGACCTAATTGGACGAAACACCCATTACAGTATGGTCCCATGGTGGCAGACTTTGGTCACGTGAGAAACATAGCGCCTTTGTGATAGCCTCTGTGCTATAAGAATGGCGCGAACACCTAATGTACCAAACTAATATAAATTTTAAGCAGTCAACTGGACAAGCGTCTCAATCTGTGTCACATAGGATGCGTGAATGTTCCTCAACGCGTTCCACATTGACTGGAGCAGTGCTCTCAGCTCGTATTTTCACCTTTTGACATTTTATGTGTGGCTCATATGGTTTTTTTCTTTTGCTGCACCCTCTCCACCAATACGTCTAAATTTGTGTTTATATTTGTTGAAAATACATTTGGGGGGAAACAAAACATAGCTGGTACACATGTAAACATGTACGAGATGTCAGTTATGATGAGCAATTGCATGTGTGCGAATTGAATTATTTTCGTTATTGTCATCATTGCCATTTATTTATTATCGATGTCATCATCATAACAATAATACTCTTGACTTATAACGCATAATTCACACTCGCACAGCAATGCACGATACCATAGAAATCTCATGATAAGAACCCATGAGAGTGGAGCATTATGAAATTAAAATATAACATGGCCTATAGCACAACAGAATGTTCACACATAAATGGATGTCTTAAAATGAACCCAAAGTAATGCGAGTAATACCATAGGCACAAACGTTAGCCGTCGATGTTTATAAATGTTCGCAGTTGCGCGAACTCACACTTCCGTGTGGTTATTTCAACACTGTCATTTAATCCCCGAGGCTGTACAAAGCTCACATTGGTGAAATGCATCTAAAGCCTTGAGACTTTACATATCCCCGCAAGAGCATCACTCAGCTCAACTCGCTTATAGGAACTGTCATCGTGAGCATTTGTTGGGGTGCTCCTATGCAAGTTGTGTTTAAAAACCAACGCGCTCGATTAGGATTTGCAGAGACGTGAGTTGATCTGTCATACGGCCAAGAAATAACCAAAATCATGAGAACCGTGCCCATTTTTTTCCCGACTGATATAAATTCGACTGATACCCTGCACACGAGAATGCACACGCACCGAGCACACACGCGCTCACAGTGATAAGTGTTTCATCTGAAGGTGCTCTTGTCGAACATGTCTGATAGAATGCTTGAAGCCCTCAATCAGAACCCTTGATTTATTTAATTTCTGCTCAGACGTACATTATTTCTCTCTCGAATATTGTGATAAGATGGCTTGGAAAGATTATGCAGTTCTTCTCTTTATTATTGTTATAACTTCTTTATGACCCAACAGGTCCACCGCCATCATTTGATCACTTACCCAGCCGGTTTTAGCCAGTTTGGGGCTGTTCTTGCCAGATGCCCTTCCGTTGTTGGCTATGGGTTCCCCACTTGTAAGGTACAGGCTCACTAGGCCTAGAAAAACAAATAACTTCTGATTGTCTTGCGATAGCTTTCACTTTTATTATTATTTATGTTGACGCTTCCCTCACCCCTGGGTCTCATTAATCTTTTTTTCGGGAGGATCCTGTCAAGTTTTTTTTTGCAGTCGGGGAAAGCGATGTTTGGATGCAGATTCCAGTTTGTAATTTGCGGGAATTTCAATATTTGCCAAGTTTGGACCATGACGTTGGCACACAAATTGGCCTACTTTAGAAAATTACGTTACGGCCTCTTATAAAATCCCTCTGTGAAGCACACGGATTTTCTTTTTTACGGTGGATACATCCACAGCAATAACCAGGGTGTGTCACTGATTTATTTTGAAAAATCTCAAATTTATTCTTGTGTAGCAAGCGTACACAAATGGTTTAAAAAATATAAATTGTTTTGTTTAACTTCTCAAAGCACCTGGGGACAAATTTCGTTAAGTGACACTGATACTTACAACAAGTGAACGGTGTGTGTGTTGCCCGTGACAGTCAGATTGGGTACCTAAGGAACAATTTCTATTTAGATTTTGGTGACAGATGATGGTGGCTAACATTATAAGGACATGCAACTTCACAGACATAGTACAATTTGAACAACACTGCTATAATAACGATTTATAATTTGACAGCCCTTTATCAATCCATTGCTGGATGGACTCCCACACATTTTGGTAAATGGGAATTATTATACTTCGCCAGACTGATACATTTTTGGTTGCTGAAGTGGGGGGTAGAGAAAGGGGAGGGGTAAGGTGTGAGGGGTTTCGTAGGATGAGTTCCTATATCACTTGCCATTGATGCTACTAGCTATGGCAGGGAATCGTATAAACCAGACCCAGAATGCCATTCGATAACCACTGCACGACCACTGCCCTCTATTTATACAAGAAAGTTAATTGAATGCGCGTTACTTGTTGTATTTACATTCTTACTTGCCCGAGTGGATTTCGTGTTCTCTGCATCAGGTGATCATTTGCTTCGCTGAGGGTTTCTCGGAGACGTCTATTTAGTGGCGATAGAGAGGGTAACGCACAAAACGCTGATGTATGAAATGTGAAGCCAGTGATTGCAAGATAAGGCTTCGGTGGGGACGTTTCTCTCTGTGATCTTGTGAAGATAACCCGCGCAGTCTACACTTTAAACCGGGCTTCATGTACGGAATCCGTTTATGGTGTAAGATTATCCAGGGTCGCTTGGAGGCATGTAAAAACGCTGCAAACCTCCAGTGTCGCTAGAGACTTCCTCTAAGGCCGCACATTCATGGCCTGCTATTTAAAAATGATATTTGAAGCACATTCTTTTTTATTATTATTATGATTCCACCCTGCACAATTCTGTTGAGCTTGCAGGAATCACAGCTGAAAGGTCATGAGTTAATGGTCAAGAATGTGTTAGAAGGTACATGGTGGTGGTGGGCTCAGTGGGGGGTCTCAATGTTTACAACGAGTTTTAGTCATCACAGTTTTAGTATTGGTAATTTTACCAAGCTGACAATCAAGAAATATTGATGAAATGCCAGCCAATGAATGGAACGCGTTCGAGAGGATGTCAACTGAGCAGATAGGAGTGATGAATTCGGCCAGTGTGTGGGTGCTAGGTGGATCATTGCATCGTGTAATCGTGAGAGATGGTGACGGATTATGGAAGTCCTCATTCAGTGATGGATTGCCAAATGCCTGTCCATGTGAACCTTGAAAAAAATGAACTTTGAACTTTGATGTAGTTCCATAAACGCAATTGCCATTTGTTGGCACACATTATTTTCATGCCAATCTCACATGATGTATCTTCCAGGGTGGGCTAGTATGACGCAACTAATTGCTGCCGAGCCTGATCATTTTCAAATTCGTGGCATTGTGCCGCTATGTAGAATCGTCAATGACGACAGTGTTGTCTCTACTTAGAAACCCCGAGTGCTGAGATTCCCACTCAGACTCCCGTGTACTCGCCACACCAAACTGCCTTACCTGTGCAAGGCAACATTTTCGGCACACAAACGATGGTCATTGTCATTAAGTCTAAACGGTGCATGAGAAATAATTTGTAATTTCCAATTGTAATCACCTAGAGATGCACCGCATGGGTAGTGTGGTATCAATAATAAATGATGATTATAATTGGTAAAATTATAATATTTTTTTTATAAGTAATTGATTTTGATTATAATTGATTAAATAATACATTGAAACCTGAAGATAACGTTTTACAGTAAAGTCACTGCAATCACAAAACACATAAACAGATGGCAGAATCGTAATTTTCAGATGTTGCAAAAGTAACGTCACAACTTCATTAAAACTCTGCGATGCTAGACGATGCTTTTTGGTTTAACACGTAGGCTTTCGCGACCAATATTATTCATAATATAGGTTTTTGGGTCAGATCGCGTTATTTATAAATTTGGCGTAACTCTCCACCACCCGACACGGCCAAACAGTAAAAAATGTGTCACGTTTTTCAAAGGACAAAATAATTCAACAGCATTTTTAAATCTTCTTCTTCTTGGTTCTTTCGGTAAAGTCACGTAGAAGGGAAGTAATAGAATAATAAAAATAAAACATAATAAAATAATTCTCACGACGTTTCGGCCACAACGCAAGCAGCCGTCCTCAGGTGAAGAACATGTCTGTCGATAAGACAGAGTCTAAATGACACGTCTTAGGCTTGGAGTGTCTATTTAAGCTGTTAGGGAGGAGGAAGAGAGCGTTGACAAAAGAATTTGCATTTGAAGAATTTGCATTTGAAGCATTTTAAAATTTGAGTAGTAAGACGTTTCGCTGGTAATTACAATCAGCTTCATTCAATTGAATAACAATTGAATGATTACCAATCTATATCATTACAATACCCTCCCCCTCTTTGCCTCAAATCACTGCACCTGATTGAATTGAATTAAATGATGACGTCACCCTGCTGATGCTCTATTTAAGACCGGGAGCAACAGGAGAGCTTCACCATTGTTGCCCGAAGAAGCTGATTGTAATTACCAGCTAATACGTCGTACTACTCAATTTTTTAATGCTGTTGATTCTCTCTTCAACACACCGGTGGTCTAAATAAGTGAATTATTTTGTCCTTTGAAAAACGTGACACATTTTTTACTGTTTGGCCGTGTCGGGTGGTGGAGGGTTACGACAGATTTATAAATAACGTGATCTGACCCAAAAACCTATATTATGAATTATGATGCTTTTTTGTTTAACGGGGGTCTCTGTATCTCGCATCACATCAAGGGGCAGCGTATTCCTTTCCGTATATTGTGGGCACTCACTTAAGTGGTTTGTCGCTGCTCACAGGACAACTCTGTGTGTGTGTTTTTACTCCCCGCAGCCAAAGGGAGCCGACCGGAAACAGAAAACAGACCGGGAAAAGATGGAGAAGAGAACTCCACTCGAAAAAGAAAAATACCAGCCTTCGTTCGAGACCACCATTCTGACAGAGGTGAGCACAACGCAGTGTTATGAATTTCGCTTTCTCTCATATCGCACAAGAATCGGGCAAATGAACAATTCTTAGCACTTGGCTTTTAATCAGACAAATAAAATCAAACAATAATATGGGCATTCTAATGAATGTTGAGCTCGCATCGTTACATTCTTTCTTTCGCAAGTTCCCAAACTGCCTATATTTAACTGGAGCCGATTGAATCTCAAGATGAGATCTGCCTAGCCCCTGTTCCCGACACGGGTGTGTTAGTGTGTGTATGCACATGTGGGTTGTCTGTAAACACAGCCCGTAGCGTTGCGCAGTTGTTCAGGTGCAAGGTCACAAACCATGTCAGACACGCATCAGTTGAGTAACGCTTGCAAAAGTCGAAGCTTTAGCTCTTGTTACATCTGTCCCAGGCCGTGAAGAACCTCTCTAAAGAAATGCATTGAAAAAGCTACGGATTCAATGTGGGGTGCTTGCGCGCGTGCTTGCGTGCATCTGTCCCGTTTCCCACAGTGCTCCCCGTGGCCCGACAACTCGTGCCTCAGTAACAGTCCCCCTGCAACGCCCAGCTTCTGCTCCAGCCAACAGAGCTACAGCCTGTCCGAAACGTGAGTCCAAAGGCCTCCCTGCCCCCCCGCCACCCCCACATTGTGTTGCGTTTGACAGCTCTCCTTCTCACCAACGCCGAAATATGACACGAGCTAATTTTTATTTATATTGCACGGAAGCTGTTGTTGTGCTCGTCCAGAGGGAGGGAAAAAAAGAAATGGAATACAAAAAGCAAAAGCTTGGAGTTTACTTTTTGTTTTATTTTCATTAGCTCTGGAAACTGCTCGTCGTCGTCACCCATTCACCAGGGAGATGGGCTGCTGCCGTTGCCCGCAGGAGAGGTGAGCCCTGCAAACTCACACTGTGCACAACAAAGACAAACATCGCCCCCATAGTCTTCGTGGACTTTTTGAGCAAGTGTTGTTCGGGAGCACCTATGAAGGCCGGAAAGGCACATGAGGGGGTGGGTGGTCAGCACCACGCCCGACCGCCTTTGTCTCCCAAATGGCGATGTTTACACACCACACCAGGTCCTCATTTGAGACTGAGTAGACTTAGGGGAGGCCCAGGACCCGTTCAGATAATTTCGGGAATCGAACTCGGGTCACCGGATTCGTACCCCACTACACTACCGATTATCACAACACACACACACACACGTGTGTATATATACATAGAGCATGGTGCGGGCATGTGTTTCTTTCTTATTTTATGCTTGTTTTTGATTTAATTTCTTTGGACGCAAAAAACAGCTGTTGTCTCCTGTTTGCAGATGTTAAACTTCTACTGCTCCTCCCCTTCTTCCCCAGCAACTCATTCCATCGGCCACCATTCAAGAGACCCAGCAATGGCTGCACAAGAACCGGTTTGCCAAGTTCTCTCGCCTCTTCAACAACTTTGCCGGTAACCCCGATTCTTCGACGCTGCAAATGTAATTGTATTTCTTTGTAACTCCAGTATTAAAAGAATACTTTTCATAAATTATGATTATTGATATATTTTATATCCAGGAAAGTGGCAGTATGGTGATGTATTGAATACATCTGTGAGTGTTATTGGGTGTTATTCTTTGAGTTTTATTTTCTCATGTGTGGCTGTCCTCCATGTTCTCTGGTTTTCCTCCGAGATGACAAACACTCATTAATAGAATCTGCCAAATATCCTAATGCAGGACCCTCTTTAAAATAAGAGTATTAAGACTCTGCGAGGCTTTCCCAGAAAATGAAATGGAATTCTTATTTTGTCACTTCAGTAGCTGTGAAAAAAATGGTGGCCACTTGCATTACACACCATGAAATTACATTTTCTCCAAGATGACGATACAATTCCTGAAAGTCCGTGAAGATGATTTATTTTCCTGCAGAAGGCAAACTGCCTGATATTTCATGAGAAAATATAATCTTTATTTTCACTCGGCTCATTAATATTTTTAGCCCTCGGGCCAGCATGCATGCAGTGGTGCCGAATTATATAATACCAGCACTCCCCAGTCTACACCCTATGTGGCCAACTGAGTTCACGGGAAAACGGGAGTTTATATTTAGGCTTTGTGAACAAGCCACGCCTGCTATGGGTAACGTGGGAAAAACGGTGTGAGACCACTTCACCACCGCCTGGATTCCGTCTCGGGCACAGCACGCTCGGTGTGTCTGCGCAGGGAACACAAGAAAACATTTATTTTAAAAAGCGGTACTCCTTGTCATCGCCTGCCTTGTTGCTGCCGACTGTGGACTTTAGGTGAAAAGGTCAGAGTTCTTTTTAGGAGGGTGCCGCATTATAATCTCTGTCCAATTCCATTAATGTTTGGCATGTGGGTGGAAACCAGAGTACCTGGAGAAATCCCACAACGCTGGACCTTAGATGAAAGGGTCAGAGTAAAAGTAAACCGCCTTGATATATTTCTTTCTTTCCATGTTCCCGTGCCGCCCCCCCCCCGCACACCACCACCTGCTCCACCGTGTGGCTGATGCCCTTTTGTCCCATTGCCTCCAGGTGCCGACCTGCTAAAGCTGTCAAGGGACGACCTCATTCAGATCTGCGGCCCTGCTGACGGAATTCGGCTCCACAACGCCCTCAAAGCGAGGTGTGGACGCCCCCCCCCACCACTCACTAACCCCAACCAGCGCTCAGACGGCACCGCCGGCACGCGTTCCCTTTCGGAACCCTGTGGGTTTGGTGGACGGGTTTTTGTTTTGTTATTGTTGTTGTTGGTGGTGCTCCTTCCCACATGCATAGTTTGTACAAGTTCAGTGCCTTGTTGTCAATCTCCTGCTCGATGGGAGCCTCCCTGCACCGCGAGGGTTGATGCGGTAGTTCGACCGTATCGCCGGTCGGTGTGGGTTGGTGAACGCAGGGAACGTGGATGTTGGAGCGTAGTACGGCACAGCAATGGATTTTTGCTGCACTGCCCTCTGTTGCCCGCAAAGTAGCTCATGCAGCCTGTAACACCCGCTATGAATGGCGATTGCCCATCCACGATGAGATGGGACACATTTCAGGTGAATTGATCATAAGCAGTCGGTTGTTTTGGTTTCCCATAAATAAATCTAAACTTTATGCGCAGAGGAAGCAGCAGCCACAAAGTCACAGCTCGATAAAAATCAATTGAAATAAACACGGCGTGAAAATTTGTAACGCTTCACGACCAATTTCATATTCACACTGGAAATGTGCGTTGTATGATATCAATCTCAAAAACCCACAAAATACAAACATCGCTGTTGAATGGCAAGTCTGACGAATAGAACAACACTCCCACTTGCGCGTGCCCACACATACAAAGATGTTCTTACGCAGTCTGTGCAAGTGCAGGGATTCTGGAAAATTATCCATTTGCTAGTTGGTAAGGAACCTCCCGTTTATTTTCACATCTTCACAGCTCTCCTTTCATGTGTCTCACGCGACAGGTCTGTGCGGCCACGGTTGACGATCTACGTTTGTCAGGAGTCTCAGCAAGGTGACTGATACATTTACATCCGTTTGCCAGTCCAATGCTGGACGCAGGCCTCTCCACATGTACACATGGTGATTGTTGGATCGTACTTCACCCCACTGATAAGTGTGGGTTTGTGAAGGGAGGTTCCCAGTACCGATTCAGATGTCACTCGCCACTGATGTTCATCACTGGCTGGGGGTTGAAATATTGAGCAATGTGCTAATCTCTGCACCAGCGGTCCATACCAGGGAACTAATGACTGAGCATGCAATGCTAGTGTTGAGTGTTTCTATCTTATTGTAACACACAACAAATACTTAGCATTTAGAGATTAATCCTCAAACCCCCCTACTGGAATCAACGATTCAAAGGTTTAAGTTCCTTATTGTTGTCTCATTTGAAAAGTTTGTGTTCACCTAATTTGCATAGAATGTGCATAAGTTACGAATTACTAATAATTAAAATATGATTGTAAGCACAAGAATATTTTTTAATGTATTAATCAATGCATAGATACACACCTAGGAAATACTGTAGTGTAAGTAAAGTAGTATACATGAATTGAAAGTCATTCAATTAAATGTGTTGCATTGTTTATTGATGTGAATCTAAAATGTCCCGCATGGGAAAATTTTACATTCACGCATGATCTGGGTAGCGTTGGTGCAGCCCTGTACAGTACTATGAACCCAGTGACCTTGGCCCTGTTCCCATAGTGGTATCTGAATCTGTCCGGGGCGTCCCCTAGGTTGACTGAGCCTTAAACGACTACCTTGTGCACGGGTATGAACACGGGCAGTGGGGGCGACAAAGATTGGCGGGCGTGGTGCTGGTCACACCACCCCCTACTTAGTGCCATGCTGGTCCTAATAATCGACCCTTGTGAAAAGCAGTTGCCCCGGCAGTCTGTGAGTCTAAACGAAAGATCTTTATCCGTGTTTTTTTTTCAAGCAGTGTACCATGCCATATACCTGGAGGAGCTCAATAGCCTGGAACTGACGGACAAAATTGCCACTCTCTTCACCATGGTGCCCCACCTCATCAGCAGCGTGTATCGGCAGGGACCCACGGGGATCCACGTCCTGGTTAGCAATCAGGTACGGATCGTGACGCGCACGCATGCACTCGTCTGTCCAGTCATGCTCACTCGTCCTGTTCGGTCACACGGGTGCACGCACTCAATGCCCCTTTGCTCAGCCCAGCCCCCATGGCTGGCCACACAGCTCAGACAGAAGCAGCAGCAGCTGCATTCCAAACATCAATTATCTCATTGATAAGGTGTCTCCACGCGGCATGGTGTACATCTGATTATTGGAACCGACTGCAGGATTTCTCTTGTGTTTCGGTAATGTTGTGAAGGTTTTTAAAAGAACAGAATTTTGTGTTGAATGACAAGATTTTGTTATTGTGATTCTTTTGACTGGATTGCTATTTCAAGACGTTTTGTGAACGAAAACCATGTTTTGGGTATGAAGGCTTTCAAGTACTCAAGATTTGGAATGGATTGTCAAATGATAATATAATAATGAGCACTGACAAATCTAATAAGTGTTTTGTTAGCATTAATTATTGAAGAAATTATTTCACATTTTGGTGACGTCCCCTTATGCAAGTTTGCATGTTTTATATGCAACCCAGTATTCGTCTTTTGACTTTTATTTTATTTGTCACACGGATGATCACGTTTATCGAGTAACCCAGCTACTTTACAAGGGAGATCCGTTGTGCTGCATCAGCACAGCAATAATATTGCAAAAACATTAATATCGCAGAGATTCAGTACAGGATCCTCAAGGAAAATTGCCCAAATAACAAACTAGATATTTAATTCTAGATTTGAAGCTTTTGTGACTGCAAGGATTCATACTCTTAGTTCTTTCGGTAAAGTCACGTAGGTAAAAAATGAAATTAAAATAAAAATAAAATAAAAACAATAAAATCACGACGTTTCGGAGGCAACACAAGCTTCCGTTCATGAATGAAACACAAACGCTAATTCATTTCCCAAGAAGTCAAGTGTTTCTGAAACAAGTAATATCGGATTTTTTTTCAAATGACATTCGTAATTGCGTTTATTGTTTTGGTCTCCCTTCGGTCACTGGTGCTCAGTGGGCCATTTCTGAACAATAATGGCTAATTCTAGATAATGGCTAACCGGAATTTTAATTTAGCACGTGAACGCAATAAAGGAATGATGGAAAAATGCACCATTAGGGAGATTTTTCGAAGCAAAGGGTTGCCTGGGCACGATTTTTCACTTTTTTGTGCCGTTTGCCAAGTGCGTGGTTTGAAGCCTCTGGCTCGGGTTAATAGTTCAGACGGAAGAACATTTTTATGAAAATGGTGCCTCCAGGCACTTTGGGGTTAATAAATGGCTGGTACTCATGCGTTACTCATGCTGTGAAGTTTCAAATGTACACATGTTCAATTTATAGAGATGTTGGTTATAAATGTAATAATGTTAACATAATTCTATTATTCTTTTTAAACAGATGATTCAAAATTTCCAAGATGAGACCTGCTTTGCAATCGACATGGTAAAAGGTAAATTGATTTGTTTGTGTAACATACAACATGATGAAATCGCGTTTCTTATATTTTTTGTGTGAAAAGTCAAAATGGTTTTCCACTCGGTTGCGTATGGGTAACATCACCTCTCATTTACAGCCAGTGGAGGAAATTCCACTATCCTATGGCAGGGATAAATGTTTCCATGTGACATCCACTTTCCTTATATTATCAACCCTAAAGTGATGATGGGCTAAGCCAATGCCCCTCACCTATTTGTATTACACGCTTTTATTTAACTCACTCCGCCTGTTATCGTATCCTCAAAAAATCATGTAACTACATTTTTACCAACTTCCCAATGTGCTATCGACTGCAAACTTGGTATACTTATGTCATACTGATGACAAGACTATATTCTATCCATAAAAAAATCCAAAACATATTTTTTACATTTTACACGCTTTTATTTAACTCACTGTCTGTTGTCATATCCTCAAATCTTTTAACTCGATTTCAACCGTCTTCCCAATGTCGTATTGACTGCAAACTTGGTATAGTTATGTCATTCTGATGACAATACTATATTCTATCATTAACAATATATATTTTAAAACGATATTTTTTACGGCTCTAATTGTCAACGCTCAACTCACGTTGCCTGCAAATCACCACGGGTCCCTTACGTTATGGCAAGCTGCGGGGAGCCACGCCGAGGGGTGGGGGGTGTGGAAGGAGGGGAGGGGCGATGGGGGAAGGGAGCAGGGGGAGGGGCAGCTCGGACAGTACATTTCATTAAATCGTGTTTTTTTAAAGTGAAAAAATATTTATATTTTTATATTTACAACACTTAGCCAGTGGTGGAAATTCCGCGAAGTCAACGGCCCTAACCGGATTTGACCTCACAACTTCATCATTGCACACTGCATACTTCACCACTGCTCCATCCTCTGACATCATTTTTTGCCGCTCTGATTTATCCATGGCTCATGAAGCTAACTGTGGCCATCTTAATTTTGTCTATAGTTTTCTGGTTAGATTCTATGTCGCTATTTCATTATACCTGATGATGATTGCTTGTGTTGCAATCGAAACGTCGTATGCTATTATTTAATTTATTATTTGTCTTTTCTGCAGATGAAAACAGTGACTGCTACCACGTCATTTTAAAATGAAGCTATCGTCCAAGGACAACATCAGAATATAATATATACGTCATGCTTCTCATGCCTAAAACAAGAAAAATCTAGGTTGACTGTTAACATGCCAGAGATGCTAAGAGTCTCTTGGTGTGTGTGTCTTGGTGAGAGGTTGCTAGGGTTAGAGCGTGAAAGATGGAGAAATTTAAACCTGGGAGATGTCTTCGGTTCCAGCCTGCAGCAAGGACGATGCTAAGCAGAGAGGAGCTAGTAATTCCGGTCACTTTTACATTCCTTCGGATCCCATTACCTCCGACAGACCAATATGCATATGCGCAAGCTTGTGTTGCCACAAGCGCCAGCTTCGGGTAGAGGAATGCCGTCCTTTCCAGTTTAATAAACACGTGCGGGACACAAAATAAAGATTGCTTTGTTGTTTGAGGACAGTAATTCTTTTCAGCAACCTACATGTTCAACCTCTCGGCCTCCTTTCGTTTTAGATCATGGGCTCCACCTAGCACTGCGTCTGTTAATTTCAGCAATTCCACATATGTTGGATGAGTTGAGGAGGTGACGTTAGTCTGTGTATAAAGAGATACCGTAAATAATTATAGCATTCAAGTTGCTGCAGCAACATTGGCCACAACGGTCAAGTACATATTCCAACTCCTGCGTCGAACAAACCAAAGCAGTGACGGCATGGGCCCTGACGCAAGAAATGAAATGAGGCCCCCCTGTCCAATTTCGCCCTTCTACATAGCCCAGTGCTTGGGGCTGTCCGGGTCGTGGAACCCGACGCAGTTGCACCACCTGCACACTCAATAGCTATGCCACTGAGCCAGGAACATTGTGAGTACCGTGCGTGTCTAGGTGTTGACTGCATGTGATGCACACTTTGCTCTTACACTACTTGGTATCCAGTCGCACTGCATTGCCATCGCAGGGAGAGAAATGTCGTTGTGGGCACACATGGTCTGAAACACCAAGTGAGATATATAAAAATATGTATACACACCCAGGATCTGCCTGTCTTTGCCATTACAAGTGACTGTTTTCTTGTTTGTTTTGTTCCACAAGTGTTAACCATTCAATGATAACTACGTTGGTGTAATTTACAGTTTTGAATACTGATTACGGAGTAGCAATTCATAAAGAAAAAAAAATAACTTGAAGTAAATTAGAGCATTTCACAAAAGCATTGTGACCCAGATTTTCAAGAGGTTTCCTTTTTTTTGTAGCTGTTGAGAAAATGTGTTTTTGAGACCTTGTGAAGGCAGTCGTACCCCAACTCCCCTCTGCCGTATTGCACACACGTGTTTTATACTCTTGTTACATTTATGCTCCGTTTCTCTTTTGTAAAAAAGCACACGTTTGTAAATATGTTTTTTTCTATTACCATATGTATTTTTGTATAAAGTTGAGATTTAGCACATGGGGTTGGGGGGAAGCTTTGCAAACTGCAGTTCTCTGATGCGTCATGTGTATGCTTTATGTGCAGTGTTTCATATGAAACTGGATGTCCATTGTGGAAATGTATCTTTTTTAAAGTTTTTTTTTTATTACATAAAGGGCTTAATTTCTCACTGAATATTTTTTCGGTCACTGGTGGGCTGGAGTAGGAGGTATGCAACGAGTAGCCACAACCAAAGTGAGAGGCATACTGGATGTGGCGTGCCTTGTACGAAGACATTTTCTTGGTCTCTGACTTGGGCAGACGCCACAGTTGAAATTAAGCCCTGAGGACACCACTTTTCTTGCTTTATGTTTTCACTTTGCTGCCTTGAATGCCAATCTTCTTGGCGGTTGTTGACTACAAATATTTTTTTACACTTCATTATTGATTTTGGGCCAAATCGCTTGAGTCAAATGTGTGTTGTACACCCGACACGGTGAATGTAATAAAGCAACCAGTGTGTCGGAGAGCAATCCCACAAATTAAACACATTGGGTGTGGCGTTTTTCTGATAGTTGCAACCAGCATCGTCAGGAAGTTGCCAGCAATTTTGAGGAGGATTTACGATACACATTTGGCTTGCGTGATGTAACCCAAACATAAATTACGAATCAAATTGGTTGCAAAAGCCTACGTGTTTAAATTGAACTTTCACGCTTAATTGTACAAATGAAGGCATGCTTGTTTCTGCATTAATTTGTTAATGTTGTTAGCAGTTGGTATGTTTTGTATGTTAATCTTTTCACGTCTACTCATGTACGCAATTACATTTTTAAAGAAATATAAACATTTTGTAACGATACAAATTCTTTGAATATTTTTGTTCTTTTCTAGAATTATCTCTTTCTAATGTTCCACGTGGTTCACGACTGTTGTATCACGTGCTGTATCACGTGTGCCATCGGTGCATTTGTCCGTTGCTCGTTGTCTCATGCCACTTTTTTTGTCTGTCAATTGCAAGTTTTAATTGTATGCCAAACTCACTGTGAGAGGGCCTGCTTTCATTGCATGTGCCCACTGAGCCTCTTGTTGTGAACACTGTGCTGAAATAAACCTATGTGCCTTTATAAAAAAAACAAGAATAAATGCACTCTTTTCCTTACAAAATTGAGCACTGCAATATTATGGTCTGTCAAACAACATCTCTACACCGATGCAATTTTTGGACAGAGATATAATGCAGTTTGTGCAGGTTTTATGGAATTGTTAAGGTAAGAATTAAAAGCTTATCTTGGGTAGTGAGGAACATGAGCCAACCAACGTCTCTCACGTACTTAAATTAGCTGTCTCCATCACCATCATTAGGTCTAACCTAGACACGGCTGGATCAAGGCCTCAATCTACATGCAAATATTCTACAAGAAATTTAATTTCTGAGGACGAATACTGCAGGTCGTGTCTCGATGACAGGCCTTCATCAGAAGCGTTTGGGTGTCATCACTTTCAGGAGGGGGTGGATTAGCAGTGACGGACTTGTGTTTACGCGATAGGATTTCTGCGCGCTAAAAACGATACAAGGAATTTATCTGCTGAACTCGGAGCATGATCCACTGCTTTGCATGAGGTGAGCCTTAAATTTGAGTAGACAGCTTCTGGATCACCTCACATCCCAACTGAACACGGCCTGCTGCACATTTCCTTGAAACAATAATCCTGACATTGAGATGTCAGTACGTACCTATGTTGGTGACAAACATGCTCAAACCATTGCATGATGTGGTAAATAAATAGTACACTGTTCTTCAATATCAGTGTGTTTTAAAAACCCTGCATGTGTATTGGATTAAATGTCAGTTAATTGATGATGCCAACATCTCTGGGAAATATTTCAATGCATTCCATGCTTGCTATCGCATGTAATTGTCACAACTAAGCAGATCTGTCAGGTTTCAGTCAGATGTTCCGCGTGATGCAGCTCCTGATAAATTCGTAATTGTTGGCCAAGAAAACGAAAATAATTATGTTTAGACAATGGGGTATTGGGAGCATTGCTAATGGAAGTGAAACTTAATGCTCCAAGACATTGCTTAAGTTAGTAAAAACTTTACAAAGATCATCTGAGTTTAGTTCAGCAAATGTCAGACTTGTCAAGACCTAATGGAGAAGCCTCTTGTAGAGTAGCGGAAACACTGATTATTGGAAATTACCCCAAAAATGTCTCTCTTAACTTATCGTTAAAATTAGCACCACAATTTAACCAATTGGGAGGGGGGGGGATACACTTTCCTCTGTTGTCACTGAGGATTAGACATTTTTTTTCCGTGAAATGCCTGGGAAAGTAATGGGTGAAGTATTTTTACAGTAGATGGCCCTCTGTTGTCCTAACCGTGCACGCCCATGTCTGTGGGGCCCTTATGCTCGGCAATCTGCCCGCAGCCCGAAAGCTGATTATATCGCCTGTTAAACACACCCAGGACCGCGTGACATGCTCTGGGATTGGGAACGCACAAAGTCGAGGGGGGCAGGGGACCTTTGAATGTGTTAAATTATAAAAGGAAAATACTCGGGAGACTGAAAGTCACAGCACGTCCTAATGTGCCACTACATCTTTAGAAGAGTCCTCACACTTTTTAAATCCTTTATATTAAGTTCACTTGCTTGCTTGCTTGCACGCTTACGACTGTGAAAATCTTTCGGTCGTTTTTAACCCACTTCCCGTGATCCAATCGAGCTGACATTTTGCACACAGACTCATTGTGCGTGACAATTTATTTTCCTGAAATTTTTTCCCCAAAATTTTCAACATTTTAGGAATTTTTTTTAAAATTTAATTACCAATTGCTTAATGGTGGCAGGCAATCATCTGACCCATAGGTGGCAGCCATCTCAAGCCAGAGGACGAGAGGACTCTAGCCGCCACGCATATAAAGGATTTATAGTGAAAAACTTTGTTTTTACGGGTTAATTTTTTTACGGATGCTTTTGCCGCACACTTTCAGTGTCCATCGCTAAGATGAAGACCTTCCCAAGCCACGTTGCTTATGCGGGTTGTGTGACAATAATTCATCACGCTGGTCAGGAGAGGAGACGGGTTCAGATAGTACTCACCACTGATGCCAGCCGTGGCCAGGCATTTATCTTAAGTCAGAAGGTTTGTACAGCATTGCACGAACCACTGTGCCACAGTGTCTATTAATGGACAAACGTTTTGGCTAAACATTAAATTCACTTCCATTATTATATACAGTACCTTTTCAATGCCGGATGAAGACACCCCTTGTCCTCCAGTCATGGGGGTTATTTGACTACTGTTCACCACGCTGGTGACTGCGGGTTTGTGAAGGGGAGAATCAGGATAGTTGAGGTATTCAGCGTTTATGTTCGGCCTGGTCGGGCATAAAACCCGGGGCAATGGGTTCATAGCAGAGTGCGTGAATTACTACGCCACCACCACTCCCTCCCTTGATTTCTATGAATGGACCAAACTACGCAGGAAGATTGGATAAGCAGTGCACTCTGGCTTTTGGTTGCATTTGTAAGTGTAATTATTGCTTGCTTTTGACGGCTAAAATCGCTGCAAATACAAGTACAAACATTTCTTGTAGGATGTCACCCCATCTCCCCACCGTCCCCCCCAAAAAAGAAAAGGCACCGAAAATATCGCCAGCGACTGACGGCCGCCTTCTCGGCAACATCGGTGCCGGGATTGAGGGCAGTTTTTTTTCTCTGTGCGTGTTGGTTGCGAAAACCATAAAACGTGTGCGACCAAACGCCGCCACGGGTAGCGCAAGCGGTGGAGTGGAAAAGGGAACAAAATTAAGCGACTGGAACGTGAGAGGTGGGGTCGTGGCTGGCAGGGGGTTGCATAAAAATGACAGGCTGCTAATGGAGCGTGACGGCTGCTGTGGCTTTCGGGGTTGATTGCGGTGCGCGGGTTCGTTCCACGCCGCCCTCCTCTTCCTCCTCCTCCTCCTCAAAACCTTCTGTCGCTTTTCTGGGATTCAGTTCGGATTCACTGGGATCATTTCGCGCAAAAATAAATGTGACGGTCACCCATAGAGCCCGCGTCGTCGTCCACTCATTGACGCGTCTCCGGATAAATGTCGCGACGCCTGCAAAATGAAATGGAGCCGCGGCGTCGTCGGGTGCACGTTGATTTGCGATTAAATAATTGAGTTTAGACAGCAACCTTTGATTGAAGGCATCCCCCCGCGCCGTGCCGGTCAAAGAGGGGGGGCTTAGTGGATTGTGGGGGATGGGTGGGTGCTCATAATTCGCCGTGCTGGTCAATGCGGGTTGGTGAAGGGTGGCGGGGGGTGTGTGTGGGTGACAAAACTGGTTCAGAGATCACTCACCACTGATGGTAGCCATAACCAGGAAGCACATTTCAGGTCGTGGGGTTCGCAGCGTCGTGCATGAACCACGACACCACTGTGCCCCCTGTCTTTATCACCACATCTGTGGGCATGATCAATCCACTGCCGGATGAAGGTCTTACCGGAGCCAGGGTCGGATTAAGATTTTGTAGACCCCTGGGGCTACAGGTACTGTGAGGACCCCAGTAAGAGTTTCAAAAGGAAAACAAAGTTAAAGAGAAATCAAATGTATTTTTACAAGGCTAACAACAAATAAAATTCAGCATTCACAACTGGCCCTGACCGGAGCCATCACGCATTGATTATGCGATTTAACAAATTATCGAGCACCTCCGCACGAGCTGATTTCATCGCCTCATTTGCATACTGGACATCATCTCAGGGACGTTAGTTCTCTTGGCTGCCACTTCATTGTTAGTTTGAATCCTCGGCCATCATTCCTTCTCGTGACGTGTCCTGCCCAAGCCCACTTGATTGTATTCACGGTCCATATCATATCTAACATGCATATATTTTATGATCTATGTGTTCCTTTCTGTCTCTCAATGCATGCTTTAGTCATCAATGTCCGCGTCAAGGCGGGTAATATGCACAGATAGAATAGCAATATGTAATAATGGAGGTAATAAGTACGATGTATATCTTGGTTAGTTGTTGAAGGCTTACCGATAGATCAGAATGATGAAATAAAAAAGCAGACAAGGGGGTGGGTTGAATAGTTGTTGGAAAACCAAGCTTGGTAATGAAACGCAAAGTGCTAACGTACCTAAAGAAGAAAAAAATGCCGGTGTGCCTGTCTCCAAATTAGTTGAAAATCCTACTAGTTTTGCTTGGCCAACAACTTGCATGCATTCTTTGCAGTGACCCTTTTTGCAGTCGAGAAGACCTCTTTTTTTGTTCCTTGCACCTTGCGCGTTCTGGAACACTGCACTTTATCTTGAGGGACTTTCTGTTCTTAAACCCCACCACAATGCACCCCTCCACCGGCCCCTGCTCTCCTCCTCAGTGCCATGTAGATGTGCAGAGATAATCTTAACAGCACCAACGCAACCGACAAGGAGCGACTGATGTGCAAATACCTCTGCGTGGTTTCAAGTGCCTGTCACTGAGCAGTGCCAGGTCTGTGCCTACCATGACGTATGAAGGCTCTGCTGCGGGCACTATAAATAACGTCTAACATTACATATCTGCAATGCTAGGGGGGGGGGGTAGTGGTGGCGCAATGGTTAGCGCACTGAGCTATGAATCTGGTGGTTTGCGTTTGATTTCCGGCCTTGGCTGACATCAGTGGCAAGTGATATCTGGATCGGTCATCGGCCACCCCCCAGATGATTTGACTCTGGGGGAATATCTGTGCTGTCACGGCCAAAACTGGCAGAGCGTTGCGGGGGACACAATAACTCCCTTCTCAAAGAGGCACAGCTCGTAGAATTTCCAGCGTGGTGAGGGCAAGGAGTCAGCGGAGTTCTAGCTTTTCTTCCGCCGGGAGTCGCTGCCAGCCCATGCCCCTGTGACCCCTTCAACACTTGTGCACACGCCTCTGTTAGCCAGTGCCAACGAGTGTTTTTTGTAATGACATTATTTAGTCCATTGTTTCGTTTAGCAATCAAATAGTGTGCTGTTTATTTAAGTGAAAGACGAGTTAATGTATACCATGAGAGCTATAATCACACGCCATTCTGAATGCAACCCATTCTCTTAAACAATTGGGCTTTTTTTCTTAGGCTGTGTTGTTGAAGTTGTCAGCGTGTGCCGGTTACGTGTGTTGAAACAGTATTCCCACTGCAGGTGATTTGTTAGAATGGTTAGGCTCCACCTGTGTTGTCTTACTGCTTTTTTTAAATACACACTGTGCCAACAGATGTGAGGTGTGGAACAAATATAAGCAAGTACTTGCTAAGAAAAGCTGGGTCTGGATTCACGAATGC